CTCCTACCTCTTTTGTCTGTAACTCACTATTATTTGTCTATTTGTTTTCCTGAGAAACTATTTTGTAGACAATAATATGTAAAATGATAACCATTGATAATAACCTACCATTTTGTCTGTAATTTGCTAAGTCCCCCCTATTATTATGTTATCCTTCTTTTATTCTTTAAAATAAAAAAATTAAAAATTAAAAATTAAAAAAAAAAAAAAGAAATGATCATACAAGTGCAAAATCCAGACTGAGATGATGATACACATACAAGCCACTGAAATCTGCACAGGTGTTGGAGGCAACATTAGTATAAATGCCCAAACTGCTACTTTTCTAGGAAACCTAACCCACATTCAATACTAGGAGATAAAGGCAGTTACAGAAGAAATGCTTGGCCAGTTAGAATCCTGGAACGTTGATGATGTTGCATTCATAAAGTAGCAGCAGGATCCGGCTTAATTCCTTTGTACGACAGTGAAAAGGAAGTAGATTGGGATTTATCTATGTTGTTCTGCAGTGCTAATCCTCGGTAGAGCCAGCATAACGAGTGAAGAAATTCTAATCTAAATAGTCTGTTCATAGTCTCAGTCTGTTATTCTAGTAACCCCAGGATATCAGTGCATACCTGGAGAATTTAGTTATTAAGAGTAGTAAGGACTTAATGCACACTTGAGAAATCACAAGAGTATATACTCAAAGGACTGCTGATTGATGGATACACTTAGAATCACTGCTTTCTGGGGAAAAGGTGACTTTCATAACATATACACAAGTGTCAAGTAATATAAATGAGATTTGAAACACAGAACAAGAATTCTGTAACTTTTCCAGTGTATGACAGAATGTTCAGTGTCTGCTAAATGCATGCGTTTCAGCACCAGCAGGACTTTTCACATTATTTCCCCAATAAATGAATCTCTCATAGAAAAATAAGCAGTTTTCTCTAAGCGATCAATCTGTGTTCCAAGAGGAGGAGAACTTTGACAGAGGCAAGCTCATTGACCAGCTGCTTAGAACACCTGGGCATGAGAGCAGGGACTAACATTTTCAAAGCTCACAGACTGCTTTAGGGGCAACACTAAATGAAGCTGTGCAAATAAATCATGCTTTCTGCTGTAATTTTAAAAGCTCCTTTTTAGTAATGGAAATGACAGAAATAGAAGTAGACGAAGGTTACTTGTGCTAAAACCAGTGCTTCTGTCTAAAAAGACCAAACACAATTTTTATATAGTAGCCAAAAGAAGGATTTGCCCAGAAGCCTACAAAGGTGAACTGCATACTGCACCTTTAGCCGTATGACCTCCATGCAGTGGTTGTCCTTGTTTCTCACATTCTTCTCCCACAGGAGATTCTGTATCAAGTGACATATTTTAATAAGATCAACCACTGCTAACAGCAACAACTATGCAACAAACAGTTGATAAATTATTAATCAGTTAAAAAAGGCATTCACCTGAATAAATACATTTAGACTTTCTTCCTTTACATTTCCTGGTACTTCAAATGTGACTGTAACAATACTCTGTAAATCAACACAGACAGTAATCTTTTATAGCAATATCAATATATTTTTTTAAAAATTACTAGTTTTAAAGTGAAAATTAAGGAACATATTAAATCTTACATCATGTCTAACAATATATATTAACTCTATTAATTCTATTTTTCTCATTATATGTGCCAATTTACGTAATTAGCAACGCTGTCTTCTATATTTTGTAGAACTCATCAACACTTTGGTATTTACACAAAAACATCTCACACAGGGGGCTCATTATTTGAATATTCTGCTCTGGGATTCTGGCAACATGAAGGAGTGGACCATCCTGACTGTGCCGAGCAGCATTCTGACTTCATGTTCTCCTTCACTCTTCACAGTCCTGGGGAAAAAGCACAACTCTTCCCATTTTATACACGGGGAAAAATGAGGCTCTGAAAAGCAAACTATGCAGAGAAAAAAGTATTACCTAACAATAAATAAAGTGCAGCCTGGCGCAGTGGCACACACCCGCAACCCAGCTACTTAGGATAGCAAAGCACAGGAGGATTGCAAGTTCAAGGCCAGCCAAAGAAACTCAGCGAGATCCTATCTCAGAAATTAAAAGGGGTGTAGATTCCACTGGGCTCAGTGGAATAACATATGCCTAACATGCATGAGGCCCTGGGAACTGAAGAATCCCCAGTACAAAAGAAAAAAATATTCTACTTTATCTGAAAAATAAGCAAAATATTCTTTTTACCTCTAGCTGAACAAGAATGTATCAAGCAGAAAAGAGCAACAAGAATGGTAGCATAGTGTCACCTTTGACTTCAAACATTAAGATCATCATTTACAGGATGTAGACGTTAAGATTTATTTTTCTTCCTGATCTTGATACATTTCTCACTGTCTACTCCACAGAACTAGAAGTTTAAGATATCCTCTAACAGGTCCCATAATTAGAATTTAAACTTCCCTTTGCTGATATAACCCAGAATGTCATATTTAATGATGAAAATACAAAGCCTAAGCCTTACATAAAACAAAAAGTCCACCATACATACTAAGATGCTCATGCCATGCTCAAAATGGCTTAAAATAAGCATTACTAAAGAACACTAAAATATAGTTTTGCAAAACTTCCTAAAACTGTTTAGCCCTGCATCTTTGTTTACCATTAGAAAATCATATATATATATATATATATATATATTTTATATATCTGGAAAATCATATATATAGAAATATGAAAAGGCCAGCCCTCTTTTTAAATCCAAACTTAGAGAATAGCTAAAAAGTATTACAGATCAATTTAGGCATGAATATATTGCTACTCAGTCTCCATTGTTGTTTATAATAGGAAAAAATACTATGTTCATGCTCACATGTGAGAAATAGTCAATTTTTAGAAAGTTTCAAATTGGACTTTAAAATGTGAGACAATTAAAAGTACTTCTAAAAAATAATTTAAAAAAATATAAAAGTACTTCTAGCAGTTTCCCTTTACCCACAGGGCATATGTTCTGAGACCCTTGGTGTATATGCCTGAAACTGGAGGTAATAGCAAACCCCAAATGTAATGCTTTTTTCCATCTTAACTGAGTACTTATTACGTACTATAGCAATAACTTTTCCAATCTGAGGTGCTACATCAAAACTAGCATGGAATTTATTTATCCTTCTTCACAATTTCCTAGTTTGAAGATTTATTCTTACCACAGACCTTAGCAACTGCAGCATATAATATTTTTCTTTCCTTATTAAATCAAGAACTTTTACTTAAAGCAAGCACTTTACAGCTTGTCTTTGCTGTATACAATTTGTCAACATCACTACTCTTGTGCTTTGGGGCCTAAATAAACAGTCACCTGACCACAACTCTATGATATTGCAGCAGTTAATCTGATAACCATCGAGAGACTTACTTAAGGACTAAGAGGCAAAAAAGCATGCAGTGTGGATGTGGTAGGCAAGGGGAGGACTCACATCCCAACGAAAGAGCAGGATGGCAAGAAATTTTTATTCTGTTATTCAGAATGGCATGAAAATTAAAATTCTAAATACTTTACTTCTGGTATTTTCCATTTAATATTTTTGGATCATGGTTGACCAAAAGTAACTGAAACTGGAAAGCAAAACCAGGGGTGGAAAACTACTGTTATTGTAACCAAGAGGTAGAAACAACCTAAATGTCATCAATGAATGAAGAAAATGTGAGACATATATATATATGAAAATGGCTCTAGTAATACATATATATATATATATTATTCAGCCTTAAAGTGGAAAATTCTATCATGTGTTATACCATGAAGAGGTTATGCTAAATGAAATAAGCTAGTTACAAAAGGTCAAATTTTTGCACTCGTATCAGTACCTACAATAGTCAAACTCATAAAAATCAGAAAAAAAATGGTGGTTACAAGGTGCCAGAGGAAGGCAGAAATGGGTAGTGACTACTCAGTGAGTAGTTTTAGTCATGCAAGATGCAAAAATTCTACCCATCTGCTGTATGGCCATGTAAACACAGATAACAATACTGTGTTGTATACTTAAAATTTGTTAAGAGTAGATCTCAGATTAAACGCTCTTCACCATAACAAAAAGTACTTATTTTTAATTCTTAATAAACATACCTTGCTTTTAAATTATTGTCATTATAGTTTAAAATATGCATTTAAACTGACAATTTTATTTCTTCATTGACAAAATCACTAAAATACTTAAATCATTAAAGAAGTCATTAAATACCTAAACTTCCATATCAAAATATATAGCAAGTAAGAATATATCGCAAAAGGTTGCCAAATAAAACATAATTTGTCAGTTTCAAAAAATATCAATTTGGTCTTCAAAAAACTCTTAAATGTATTTTATTCATAACTTAGTCCCTCCCTAACCCTAGTACTGGTGACTAAGCCCAAGGGCCAGAATGCTAAGCACCTGCTCTACCACTAAGCAATGCTCTAGCCCTTAACTTGGCTTTTTTATATTGACCGTGTCAATATAGGATTCAGTACAGTCTTTGCTGCGTTGTTAGCTTAAAAATGTTTATAATTTTTTCTTTTGCAGGATAAAGAGATGACAATATTTTTATGAGATATAACTAAGTTTAGTATGAGATCAAAGAAAGTTAAAATTAGGATGATACATAACTGGACTCAAAAAAGGCAATCTCTGATTTTGGAACTATAGTTTTCCGTACCAGTAAACTCATTTCATATTAAAAACTATAAAGAAATGCCTCTAAAATAAAATTTTCAGAATAACTCAGGCTTATTGATTTGGTATTTTTTTCTTTAACCTACTATGTTATTTCTGACTTTTCTATTCTTTTGCAAATAGTCCCTATATACAATAACTTCAACATGCTTTCTTCATCTGGAAAATGATTCAAGCCCACTAGTATACTTAAATGAAACAACTATAGCTCCATAGTCCAGTCCTGTCACTGTCACTTTCCTCCTCGTGAGGCAAAATGCCTGACACCCACAACTTCAAGGAGGAGAGGTTTATTTTGGCTCACAGTGTCAGAAGTTTGAGTCAGTATTCAGGAGGCTTAAACACAGAAATGGACGGTACAAGGGCCTAGGCAGAGGAAAGCAGCTCCCATCATGGCAACCAGGGAGCAGAGAGAAGCGAGGAGCTGGGAAGGCGATATACCCTTCCAGTCATACGCTCCAGGGCCCTGCCTCTTTCCACTGCACTCCACCTCCTAACAGCAAGTGAGCTACGTGGCCCTATCACTCAATCACCTTACAAAAGTCCAGCTATAAATATAAGAGGCCTGTGGGCAACAATCTTGATCTAAACCATAACACGCCCTCTGTCCCTTTTTGCCCAGGTAAGGCCTCTCCCGTAATGTTTTGCCACTAGATACAAAGCTGAATATGTGGCATTTTCATCCCAATCACTTTACCTTCCAGATGTATCCACTTCTAGGTTTCTTTAGTCAGTTAGGCTTGTTTCCTATCATCCCTTCCGCTTCTGAGCGAGCTACACGTAGGTTGCTCAGGCAGGTCTAGCTGCGAAATAGCTCCTGTTTTACTCCGTTTCCCGCCCTTGTGTAACCACAGTGAAGGCCATCATCACATGCTACTGTATGTTCCTGCTCGCTCTCTTGATTCCAAAGCCCAATGCCACTTATGTTACGCTGCAGCACAGCCCAGGGTAAGTTCTCTTTGCCTCAAAAATTAAAACCCACAGTCACAGACCAAGATTCCAGTACCAACCAACCACCACAACTTAGGCAAGAGGGACTGCTCCTCCAAACAGCCCACTTTCAAACATCTGGAGTGGTCTTTCCCTCACTTCTGTCAAAAACAAACAAAACAAAAAACCCTACTAGTTCATGACTTCTTTTTGTTGTTTAAGTGAGAATAGAAGTTATTCCTCCTTTGACTAAGAAGAAGCACAAGAAAATTCTCAATTTTGGAAATCTTTTATTATCTTGATCTGAGAATTATAAGGACATGCATTTATATATGCACACAGATAGATATGTATATATAAATATATGTAAGGATACATAGTATTTTTAATATAGTTTTAGTGTACAATTCTATCTTTCATGGAGTCTCTGATGGGGTTCAGGACACCCTAGCCCAAAATATGACACTGTCAAAAGAAGCAGGAAAATCATGCTCAGCGTCTCCCCTAAAGCAGGGCATCGGGCCTAGGAAAGATTTTCTGACCTCCTCTTGAATGAGGTCTTAAGACTCTCATGTGAGAAGCTCTCCCAATACCCAAAGCAAAGGAGCATACTTGTCCTGAAGACAAAGGGTCACAAACAGGACTCTACCCACGCAGGCCTTGCTAAGTTCCTATCCATTTGCTATCTTTGGATCATAATCTTTTTCTCATTGTATATCTCCAAATATCCATCCTTTATCAAAAATAAAAACACACAGGTTTACTCATTTCTTCAGGCTTTCATTATGAAAAGTTCCACGTCATATAAACTTATTACATATGCTTTTTCCTCACTAATCTGTTCTGAGCTATGAACTTATCAATGGGTGAGGAAAAGATATCTTTCATTGCCTATACCTCAGATCCACTAAGCTAAATGATACTATCTATGTCTTTGATTCCCATAACTCTTTTTCTGTAATACTATATTTTGCTCAATGCTTACTTACATACCTAAAGCAGAAAAAAGCATTAGAATCTCCTGTTCAGCTTTAACAAAAATAGACATGCCCTATTTGTTGGTGAAATGACATAATGTTTGCAATTTTCTTTTATACACTCCAGCATGGGTGATAAGTACATATAGATTCACTATGCTATTCTACTTTTATGTCTGAAACTTACTATTTAAAAATATATACATGTATTTTCAAAACTTTAGCAAAGAAATGTTGACAAGATAGATGAAATAAAATGGGCAAAATGCTGACACCATTTACATGCACACAAGAAGTGCAGTTTACATTCTCTCAACATTTTTGTATCTATAATGTTAAAATACATATTAAAATGCACATGTCCAAAAGAGTTAAGGGGCAGGGACTACTGAGTATCCAAAAAAAAGTACACGAGTGATCCTTAATTATTTCTCCATTTTAGAATCACAGCTTTTCATTCTTTTTCACTGAACACATATCAAATACTAAATCTGTGCTAAGCAATGAACTTTATATTTAATGACTTTATACATTAATGCAATGAAAAGCATTTTAAGCCAAACTACAAAGCATTATAAATATAAACTATAAGGCATAATGGGGTACATTTGAGATATGAAATATGATCAACAATATGGTAAAAGTTTAAAAGCATGTTTATTAAAGTAAAAAACAAACTGAATTAATCCCTGTCACAATACTCTCCCTCACTTTCAACACCCTTATCCCATTGTTTTTGTCACTTTCTGAAGCACTTCTGGAAGTCCTCTTTCATGAGTATCTTTAGCTGTGACTGCCTCAATATCCTGAATCAATTCAAAACATTTGTGTTTCACGGTCATTGTGACTTTGAGGAAAAGCCAGAAGTTGCTCAGTGAATAAGATGAATGAGGCCACACTGTAATATTTTTATGTGAAACAGAAACTGCCATACACATTATCAATGAGGGGTGATCGAAGAATATAGTGAACATTTAAATTTTAAAAATTTATTACAGTAAAAGACACATTACCATTGATACCCCTCAAAATATTCCCCCTTTCTTCAAACACACTTTTCTATCATTCTTGGCAATGTGTCCTTTATTTCAGTAAGTTTTTAAAAATTTAAACATTCACCATATTTTTCAATCACCCCGTATATTACAGGTGTAGATACTGCCCCTTAGAAGGTTCCTGTGAGTACTCTATTTTCTTCATTTTTGAACCCTTATAACTCCTAAGTATGTATTCTTCACTCAGAAGAAACTCAGTAAGAATGTGATTCCAGTTTATCTTTATGACTGCTACTGAAAATCATAAAATTATTTTTTCCCAGAAGTTTACTGCGAGACTAGCATTTCTCTCATTCACTTATTTTAAAGACAAATGAATATTCTATATTTTAAAAACAAGTGAATATTCCCAGAGAAAGGTACCACAAATGTGGTGCTACAGTTTCCCATAAACACGTGCCAGAATGAAGATAAATGCCAGCGGCTGCGATCATCTTGGTCCTACTACAACGGGCAATGATGACTCAAGAACTTGGTGGTCACTGCTAGAGGAAGGAGGGAAGACAAGGTACAGAAAGTATACTGCTCACTTACACACCTTCTCCCTCTACGTTTTAAGTGTAACACAGGAATTATCCTAAAGTTCTACCATCTATGACCTGCTTGACAGAAACATGGATAAAAATAATAGTTTGTTCCTAGCATCTTAAGTATCTACCCCAGGGATTAGAATTTTAAAGTATAAAAAACACCTTACAGAGTTTGAAATTTATACAACTACCTGAAGGTCAAACTTGGTCAATTTTTACTTAAATAAGCCACGCTTATGCCAGACATTTCCTTCATCAGTTACTTCAATACAGTTAAAAACAGACTATAGATAGACCCCTCTGGCTACTTTTAAGTAAAAACTCCCATCATGAGGACTGATCAGAATATGCTGAGTAACTACAGAAGAAGTGGGAAGCACAATTTCCTAAAATTCTAAACACTTCAGAAATGTGTAGTTCCATGAATTCCTATTATGTGTTAAGAAGTTGGGTTAGCTGACTTCAGATGTATTCAAGATCTGGACAATATCAACACAGTTCAAAAATGCTAGCTTCAAAAGATATCTAATCAAACAGTCCTAAATACGGCCAACTTAGCGAGAGACACACTTTAAAAATATTGTTTAAGATTTCTTTTTACCTGATCAAGGTGAGGCTGTGCTGTGGGCATATGTTGAAGTTTTTCCTGAAAACTAAAATCAACCAATGAAGTTCAGTGATGAATCCAATGTAACCTTACCTCTTACTCAGAGACACAAAGTCAAACAGGAAAGAGACTTTCCATAACTGAATCTATTTTATATTTCTAATTTTACATATTCTAATGGAGAAATAATCTAATAGAGAATATTTATATGTTCTAAAAGAGAAAAGCTTTTGACAGATTAAGCTCTTTAAAGTTTTCTTTAAAATGCACACATTCACAATAAATATATGCACAATAAAAGGAAAAGCTAAGGCTTTAGCAATATATTCTTTTGTGTGGTTAAGTATCAGTGTACTTTTTTTCAAATAGGTTCAATGCAGGCTTATAAAAATATATATAACTATTTTAGGGTTGCTCAAAGTTTCTCAATTTTTACTATGCTTCCTAATATAAAATAATGCTGGGAACTACAGAAAATTAGAAGGATAAATTTTCTTTTATTAAAGTTTTCCCTTGAACATCTACTTCTTAAAACATAAACTATCCATAAATACAAATATTCTCTATGGTCAGTTAGCAGTTAAGAGAAAACAGTCAAAATCTTAAGAATGTATTGTTTTGATATGAAAAGAGCCAAAAGATCAACATGGCATAACAAATTACAATCATAACAACTGTAGCACACATTTAGACACTGGTGGAGGTGGGAGGGCAGGACTTAAAACCTTGCAGATGTTTTGCCTTGAAGAACAGTGAGGGGTAAATTAGTAACAGCAAATTTAGGAAAGAGAAGAGAGTTATAGGAACTGTTCTAGGGAATGAGTCTCATTGGGGGGTCTTAGTAGGGAAAGTGTCAAATTAAATCCTTCCCAGCTGGTTGCTCAGGAAAGGATTCTCCTGTTTTGCAGCTAAGCAGAAAGAAAAGTTAAGCAAAGGCCTCATGGATAGTGGTGGGATCACATTAAACAGCTACTTCGCTAAGTGTCACTAAAGCATTATAACTGCTCCTAATTAAGTGAAAAATGAGATTAGAAAAATCACTGAAATATCAGATACTTTTTCTATATGCCTAATGTTTAGTGTTGGACAATGACTACGTACACCTTCATATGCAAGCAAAAGGTCAAAAATTCAACTATTATCTAAATGTTTAGTTCCTAGCAAATTTCAGAATTTTATGCCTTAATTTTTTCTTGATCTTAAAAACAAAGTGTGTTAGCAAAAGCAAAAATTTATGAATCAGAATACCCATTCTGCACACTGACTTGTATCTTGTTAACCACTTCTATCTTTTAATGTATACACCTAAAATAGTTTACTGTTTTATGTATTAGAGATTCAGTTCTTTTCACCACAAGATGAAACTTGCAACTTTTCTATTTCCTCCAGGTAAAACTGGAAAACTTTGAAGTGGATGCTTTAAAGAAAGTATCTTTATTATAGTCAGAGGTAAGTAGAAAGGAAAAACAAAAATATCCTGAATATCGAAGTAGAAAATAGTCTTACACTACCATCCTTTCTCCCCTTCGCTATTAAGAATAAACTGTTAAAGTAAAATATATAAAGGGAAGAAACAAAGACTTCAACTAAGAAGTATTTTAGTGTTTCATATTAAATGACCATCAATTTGCAAGCTCTTAGACCCAACAGAGAAAAATTAGCTGAAGAAAGGCAAACTTAAGGCAGTATTAGTTCATTTCCTACCTTTGTAAATATATTTAAATGTGGCACAGGGTCTGTAAACACAAAAACAACTCGTTGCCTCAGATGAAATACAGTTCTAAGGCAGATGTGAAGGGCAAGGAAAAGGGAACACGGCCAGCTGCTGAAACTGCACTGACTACTCAAGAGAAATAAACTGTAGTCTTGGATTTAAGAAAAGGAGCAAGGTAAAAGGTTGGCAGGGGTCGGACTGGTGGACTTGAGTGGAAATGGACCTCAAGACAAAGGCTCTTATGTTCCTAGAATTAGGAGACAGTACCAGCAAACCAGCTCCCTAGTAAAGTCAGTGCTAAAAAAGACCATTTTTTAATGACAAAGTTTATGCTTCAGGCCATATTCCTGTCAGAATGCTTTGGTTCATATCCATAATCCTTCGGGTAAAGTTTTCATTTCTAAATAAGAAAAACAAAGCTTTATGTAAAAAACTGTAACTTTGATTGCTTTTCGTATTATTCAATCACTATCAAGCTTAAATAAAATTGGGACCTAAAGCTGACATCAGAGAAAACGGTTCAGGATGCTAAAGAGAGATTTCACAACTTTGTACAGGAGTGTTCTGAAATGATACAACACATTTCTCCCATAAAGCAAAAAATAGGCACTTTCATAATATAAAATACAGGGATTTTTTTTTTTAAATTAGAAAAATCATCTATACTTCAAGTATACCAAACTGTTCTATTTTCTTACTGACTAGAACTAAAAGGAAATGCGGATCTTGCTGAAGCACCCTAGGAATCTCCTTGTAATTTTAACTTGTTATTTGTTACTTTACAAGGTCTAACTCTAGAGGGTACAAATAAAATGAATAGCTCTCAACTGAAGAACTGACTTCCAGAATGAGTAGTTCTAGTCTGACATCTACAATGACAAGTTTCAAACTAAGGAGGTAGTCATCCTGCCTATCCTAAACTTCCAGGTGTGAAAATAGTAGCAATAATTTTACACATTAAATGTGAATTTAAATTCTCTTATTTATAAGGGCAAAGAAGTTCAATAAAACACTATCATACCCTATCTTGACAGTTTATTTTAGAAATTATTTTTTAAATCTGAACAATCTAAAGACTGAGGGGGGAAAACTAGTTAAAAAATTAGTTTTAAAGGCATGGCTGGGCCAGGCATATAGCTCAGTGGCACAAGCGCCTGCCTGGCAAGCACAAGGTTCTAAGTTCGATTCCCAATACCAAAAATGTTTTTAAAAAGGCCTGGCTAAGTAGAATGGCATATACATTTGTGTTTATTGATACACACACCTAGGAATTAGCAATCAGAAGTATAGACCTACTTACCATGCCTATCTGCAAACTAAACTGCCTTACCAATTTAAAACATCAGAGAGATGTCCATTTTTGTGCAGACATACTCAAGACTTAAAAGTTACTGCAAGCATTATTTGCAATAGCCAAAATGTGGAAACAACCTAAATACTGTACCTGTCAACTAAGGAACGGGTAAAGTAAATGTGGTACTTTTACTAAAACGGAATATTACTCAGCCTTTAAAAAGGGGGAGGAAATCCTGCCATTTGCAACACCATGGATCAACCTTGAGGATGTTATGCTAAGTGACAGAAACTAGTCATTGAAGAACAAATACTGCAAAACTCACTCATAACAGGTAATTAGTAAAGCCCATAGAAGCAAAGACTAGAATAGTGGTTACCAGGACATAGAAAGAGGGAAAACATTTAGTGAGTAGAGTACAGAGATTTTTACAATAAGCTGCAGAGATCTGTTATGCCTATAAATAACAATACTGTATCATACTCAAAACTTTGTTAGGAGGGTAGATCTCATATGTTTTTACCACAATTAAAAAAACAGACGCTGATGTTCAAGAATAACTGATCTCTCTTCCTTCCTTTATCAAAAAGATTTCCCCAAGGAAGAGACAGAAAGCTAATCCATAACTAAGCTGTTTGTATGAACATCCCAAACTAAAACTTCCTATGTATTTGATGCATTTTTCTATTGAAAAGAGTATTGCAGTGGTTAGCATAGAAATATTAAATAATATATCTTTAAAGCTACCTATCATTTATACCATAATTTCTACAAGAAAATACACTATGATGCACAAGCAAGAAATTAACAAAACTTTCTGGCATAAACTTAAGAATGATCTTGTATGTCAGAATGCCAGAAAGCTTAAGTCGGGCATGGTGGTGCACACCTGTAATCCCAGCACTTGGGAAGCTGAGGCAGGAGGATCGTTGTGAGTTCAAGGCCAACCGGGGCTACAAAGTGAGCTCACAGCCAGCCTGAACTGCACAGAGAGATCCTGTCTCAAAAAGAAAAAAATAAAAAAAAGAATGACAGAAAGCTTCAATCAAGGATGTACTTGTGTAAATCATTCCTGTAACTGTAGAATAAAAGCATATTACATTAAAAGTGACCAAAATATTGAAAAAACATACCTTATTCCAGAGAGACTATCAAAGGCATGAAGATCTAATATGTTAGTGAGATCAACTCTAAAAGGAAGAAAATTCATGTGATCAGTTGAAAATTCTGTGAAAAATATCCAATTAAGAAAAAAACCTTTTATCAAAACATAACATAAAGCTCAATCAAAATATAATACTTTGGAAAATGCATAAAAATGACAAAAAAATGCTACTGTAAAATTTTCTCTATGTAAAATTCTTAAAAGTGGACACATCTAGGCAAAAAACTAAGTTACTGCTTCAACAAACTTTAGCATTTTTTGTTTTTAGCACTCTCAAATGTCTTTCCATTCCTGAAATCTAATTTATGAGCTTTTCAAATACCACATTTTTTATTGCTCACCCCCCAAAAACATTAGCTAAAAAATTAAAACTTTACAAGCAGCTTATAAACAAAAGAAATGATAACTAGAAATAACACAGTAGTATATTTATATTCCAAATATCTTTGGAGTTTTGTATTTCTTTTATACTAAAATAGGTAACATAAGGCAAGGCATCAGGGTGGAGGGTATAGCCCACTGATAGAATGTGCTTAGTAGTCACAAGGTTCTGGGCTCAATCCCCAGCATCACCACCATCACCAACAACAAAAACAACACCAAGAAACACTAGCAGTCAAACAACCAGTGCAAAAAAAAAAAAAATTTTTTTTTTTTTGGTTTTTTTTCCGGTACCGGGAATTGAACTCACAACGTCACGCTTGCCAGGCAGGTGCTGTGCCGCTGAGCTAAATCCCCAGCCCCAGTGCATAAATATTCATTCACTAGGACCCTATCTACATGTGAGTTTGATTTCTTTTATTCAGAATAGGGTTGTAGATAGAATGAAGTTTCCTGCTCTATCAAAATAGATATTATTTCTCTTAGTGATAAACTTTGTTAGGAATGTAGTGATTCAAACCACATGACAATAACCTATCACAATTAGTATTAATTTTGTTTAGATACATAAAAGCAAATATATAAAGGCAGGGGACAGGTTTCCAATTCTAACATAAGCCCATATAAGAGGAGAAGACAGTGACCTCTCCATAATCAAAGCTAAAACGGAGACTGCTTAAAGAAAATGACCAAAATGTAATTAAATTTCAAAATCAGACTCGATACTTGATGAATATTTATTAAAATTTCACAGACAAAACAAAGCTCATTTGTCAGATTCAAGATTATCTTAAACACACAAACATGTAAGATAAAACATGGCTTTAATTTAGGACTGACCAGCTGTGCCTGCTTTGCCCCCTTTCAGCAGTCTGCCATCCACTCACACTTGTGGCAGCAGTGTTCTGTTACATTATGAGTGTTTAGCTTGGCACACACATGCATTCCCATTTATGAAAATAAGAAAATGCCGAAGTTTTATGTTAATAGACTGTAACATTTCAAATTCTGAACATTCTAGATGTGCTGAATTAGGAGAATAATCAAGCAAAGAAGTAACTGCTCCCTGAAAAAATTTCTCAATATCGATTTACACCAAGACCAAAGTCTTAACATTAAACATTATTTCATTTTTCACCTTCACAGTTGAGCAAATATTTATACTAACAAGTAAAAGACGAATGAAATTTCCCAAGTTTATCATCTTTACAGAACAGCTTAAAGTTTAGTAAGCTTTGCACATGGCAATGTGAAAATTTAATTGCTTTAAAAAGCAAACCTTCTAAACATACTACTGTCTCACTGTGACAATGTCCTTGAGAATACTCACTATTTAGAGGTAAGTTTGCCTTATACAGATTCCTGTGATTTCCCAGACAGGATCAATAATGAATCTGATCACACTCTATAGAAAAAAAAGTATCAAAGTCTCTCACCAAATTCTCAGTGGAAAGAAAAAAAGGGGAAAAAAGCCAAAGCTTCCAGATGGAAGTTTTAATGAACTTTCCCTGACACCAGTATTGCCACGAAAAAAAAAATTTTCACTTATTCAAGATGTATGACTAGAAAACTAATTTTCATAATATCAAATGTTTAATTTCCTCCTTCAGAAATGAAAAAAAAATCAGCTCTTTTCCAAAACACTGAAAAAAAAAAAAAAAAAAAAGACCATTACCATCATTTAACACATTCACAAAGGGGCTGTAACTAACTCATGTCTTGCTGAACCACTAATAATGTTACATGCATGACTGTCCTGTTGGATGGCATGGGACGATCATGCATATACCACTAGTGGTTCAAGCCAGTGGGAACACCGTTAATAACTAAGTGGGAAAATAATGGGGAAAGAAGAAACTTCAGAAGTTCATTTTTCTTAACTTTTTGAAGTACCCACTGCAGCTACTACTCTAGGGATACTAAGAGTCATCTTTGCAACTCTTCTGACTCTCTCAACAGGGCATACCAGTCTATCCCAGATCTATGTGTTAGGGTTAGGGTTAGGATTATAAATACTGTCCAAAAGCTCAGTCCTAAACTCCAGAAATAAATTTCTAAATATGTTGCCAAGTGGTACCACAACCTGCACCTGCTTCCAAAACAGAACTACAGTAATCACCTTTTCTAAACCTACTTCCCCCACTGCCTCACACAAGCTGCTCTCCCTTCTTAGTATTTCCTATCTTGCAGAGAATAGCCCCACATTAAGTCTATCTTCCAAGAGTCATACTACTTTCAAAATTCCTCACAAACTCCTTGATGCCTACACGAGGAAAACCACACTATCTATTGTGGCATTCAAAATCCTTGGTGGTAAGTTTTGTCTCCTCAGTCATACACTTTTTTCTTCCTTGCCACATAATAACATGTGTTCTAATCATTTAAACACATTTACAGGTGCCTGGAATACAAAGTTTTCCCGCTCTGAAATCCTACTAAATATAAAGTCTTCCCTACTCTACCTAGTCTATCTGGATACATCTTACTCATGACTCAGATCAATGATCACCTTTTCCAGTTAAAATTTTCCTGGCCCTTCATCAGGAAGAGTTGAGTAGTTACTCCTTTATTTTCCTATTCCTTTCTTTACTTTTCTTTTTTTGAGACAGGGTCCAATATGCAGTTCAGGGCTGGCCTTTAACTCACTATGTAGCCCAGGTTGGCTTCAAACTCATATTGATCCTCCAGCCTCAGCCTCCCAAGTGCTGGGGTTACAGGCGTGCCCCACTACTCCTGGCTATCTTCCTATTGTTATAGGGCCCTGTGCATTTAATATTCCTGTTGTGATATATTAATATTCAACACGGGTTTCTTTGGTTATTTGCTTCTCTGATTTCCTCAAATCACTAATCTTAAAGACAATTTTTGCCTCACCCATTGTTTAAATCTTCAATCTCCCATGAAATTCCTGGTAGCCAGTAAGATATTCAGTATAGTCTGTTTGAATTAATTTATTACTGTGTTTTGATTTTCTTCTCTTTAGTTCATTTAAACCTCCAAAGATGAAAAAAAAAAAAAAAAAAGGCTAAAAAAAGATAATGGCATGTCTTCTAACCTTCCTACTTCTGAAGTCAACATAGTCCCCTAAAACTCCTATAATATTTGCCTCTAACTCAACTCAAGCCTTATCAATAAGACAGTGTGACATACCATTCCCCTCCCTTTCTCCCTTCCCTTCCTCCTTACCTCTTCCTCTTTTCTTTTATTTCTTCTAGGCACTGGGGATTGGACCCATGGACTTGTTCATACATTCCAGGCAAGTACCCTACCACTGAGCTATATCCTCAGCCCTTATGCTCAAAGAAAGCCTTTACTACATATGCTCATATCTCTTTTACTTTTGTCAGTGTTTGTTAACCTCAAAATAGTAAAGGAATTAAAAATTTTACAATAATAAAATAAAACTTCTATCAAAGTGATTTTGACAATTTTGTGAAGAACCAAACCTCTAGTTTCCAAACTGGGAAGCTCAAGTTGCTATGCCTCAAATAATTTGGGGAAATATTTAATATCAGATTCATAATACAATAGAAGAACTGTACTATGAAGATCCTGTCTTCACAAAAAGGATTCTCACCCAACTTTAGTCCTCATAACAAGGAAGTCCTATTTCAAAGGCCCTTAGATTCTCAGATGCACTGCCAGACATTACTACTGAAGACCAGAAAAAAAAATTTTATTCACTTGTTCACACACCCATTTGAAATCATAATTAACAACAGCATGTTTACTATTACTATTCTGTAATAGAACAAATGTTAGAAGTGACGGAAATGGTAAAACTACTACATAATAAGCTAATGAAGATGAAACCTGTACTCAGGATATGGACAGTTCCAAAATGAAAATGAAAGAAAACTGATTTAAGGTGATTATAAATAAGAACTGAATAAATGCTTATAGAATATATTCTATTTATTTATTAGATACGATTTTTAAAAGCTTACTGAAGCATCTCATGGTCTGTGTGTCACTTTATAAAGAAAAGAGAAATTAAAAAGAAAGGACATGTAAAATGCAAAACAGATCACAGTATGAGTTAGATAATCAGATTTCTACAGTGGAATTTGAAATGTAGGGAGCACATTTGGTAAATGCTCGTAGAAGACTTACACTAAGGTATTCTTCTGCTACCTCTGTAAGCAGATGAGTGGCTCCTGAGAATGCATTCCAAATTAATTCCCCAGCTGTTCACATGCTTATAAGCAGCTGCTGCTGTTACTGCCTAACATTTATGGTAGTCTGTCAGCACCTCTAATCTCGGCCACAACAGACAAGCCACTCAGCTGAGCCCTCTGCTGCACTTTCAAGGGAAGAATCTCTCAACCAGAGACTGGGTGGCACTAGGCTGCCAGCTGGGAGTCACAGAGTTGCTGGCTGCTCCTTGTATGGTCTATCAGTTGCTGAGCCTTTCACACCAAAAATGAGATTAATAAAATGCCTTCACACAGAAATTTTCCGAAACCATGAAAGCACCTGGTGGAAAATGGTTCAATCTACAACAGTACACTTTACAGGTGTTTTAAGAGCGTATCTAGTTTATAAAGTAACATACAGCTAAATGAACAGAACAAAAGAGAAAAGTATCTAAAGAAAATGGAAATTAAAATTTAACAAAGCAATGTATTGGAAACAACAAATGTACTGGTTGAAATTCCATGTATTTTTATAGGAGAATTTTTTCCCAACTATGAAACACTAAAGTAGTTTTAAAACCATTAAAAAGCCATTCGAATAGCTCAAATGAAGACTCTTCAACATACTTTCTCAGATTTCTATACTAATTTACTTGCTTGAGTGGTTGCAACTGTTGTGTAATTTTATTAAACAACAACACAGTTACACAGTGTTACCATGGCTCTAGTCTTAGTTAAAAAGAAAGGCAAAGAAATTAAGTAAACATGTCAAACTAATTTATAAAGAACATTCAAAACATTTTTGGTTCCATTTTTAAAAATATACCTACATTTTTCTAATATTATCAAGTGTATTTATCAATAACTTAATGTTTATAATTAATTAACTAAAACTATTTGCTGATAGTATTAGAAACAGCTTTATAAAAATACCTGGATCTTTGTGTTTCTAAAATTTTTCCCAGTCCATTTATTGATCTGAAATTTAAAAAAGTAAAAGAAAAGGTAAAAATCCAAATGTTAATTTTTTAGAAAAGAATATAAATCACATTATTTCTAAAACTGCAATTAAATAAATACAACTGGAACTAGAAGACAACTGAAAATAGAAAACAAAATTTGCATTTTGTTATGGTTTATTCTTCTCCTTCAAACATAAATCTGGTATATTTCTCTCATGCATTAAGAAATCATGAGGGGCTGGGGATTTAGCTCAGCAGCACAGCGCCTGCCTGGCAAGTGCAAGATCGTGAGTTCGATTCCAGGTACTGGAAAAAAAAACAAGAAATCATGATACACAAAAACCTACTGCACACTGAAGGATCAAAGATGATATTGTGATTTATAAAAAGATCCTTCACTTTAGAAAAATGATTCACAAATAGCCAGTAAATCTAGTGTTCTTATAATGAGGAGAATCTTCAAATATTTAATGATAGCCATTTTTCTCCACTTACATACTTTTGGAAATGGCTATACACACATTCAATAATGGAATACGGCTCCTGTTGTACAGTACCAAGTACCTGCTAATTCCTTTTCAACACAATGAACCTCTCATCTATTTGGATTTATAGTATCAACTCCACTCTCTTTAGGGTTAACTGCTCGAGACAGGTGCTATTTGTTCAAGCATGCTCTTCTGGGTAGGCATCCCTCATAGGGTGATTCCGAGACAAGTCTCTCCACTGCTTTTTAAAAATGTTTTTACAAAATTCTGAATCTCCTCTTCTGAATGTATTCTATACCCTGATACCTATTTTCCTTCCACATATGTTTAACTTCTACCACTTCAAATCTGATTGCAAGTCAGTTATAAGTCTGATGAACACTGGATGATAAAAAACTCAAAGAACCTATAATTTATCAAAGTACTTTCTTTTCTAGCAGCATAGTGAAGTATAGGCTGTCCACAAGCTGTCTAACAGTACTACCAGTGCATGAGAGCCAGCTTAGTCAATATGAGGATATAAAGGCCAGCTAATAGCAATCACTACTCTTATGCCAAAAATGTTTGCAAAGAGATTGTGTTCTCCCTAGTAAACTTTAAGGATATTACTTTAAAATAAAACCAAACACAAACAAAAAGTGTGAATTTCTTTCTCCAGCAATTATTCATTGCAAACTATCTTTTAATGAATCTTACATTTACTGATTCAGTTAACATATACTATACTAGTTGTGCCAAACCTATGACTTAACAAAACAAAGTCTTCTGAACAGTCAGAAAATAACTGTTGGGTCATTTAACACACAGCTGAGTATCCTTCATACTGTCTATGTTGAGCAGCATTTTCCATGGACACTGAGGACATTAAAGCAAGCTAGAAACAAGGCACAGCTGACTTAGGAAAGACATAGTCAACAAAAGTTGAGGGCAAAGTAAAATCACCTGAGTCTGGGAAGACTCATCAGAAAAACTAGGAGGGAAGAGAGAAAATAGGTTTTAAAGGAGTGATGGTGAACTTCTTGGAGCTTTCAATGATATAAACATCCCAGTGCACCATGTGTGCCATAGGTTTGGCACCACTGCTCTACAGAATGGAAAACACTGCTATTAAAAGAAGTGGCAGTGGTGAAGGAATTCAGAAATAGGCCGCATAAAAAAATATTATGAGTAAAGGAGGGACTTGGCAAGACATGTCTATGGGAAAGTAAGTAACTATCAGGGTTACACCTAAGAAGCTCAACGTTAGGAAAGAGTCAAAGAAAAAAATGGGAAAAGAATGGTGGAATCAAAGGATCTTCAATAAATCTATGAATTCTAAACTATATTCTGCAAGCAATAAGGAATGATTTTATATATTTCCATTTAATAGTCAACTGGCCAACAACAAAATATGTGATTCCTTAATGATTCTTGAAGCAAGTCGTCCTTGAAACTTAAGTTTCTACAAGGCAATTTTGAATACAGTTAAACCTACAATTTTGTACCTAAAGGTTTCTTTCAAATTTTACTTAATATTTAACTGATATATAGAAACATAAAAATTATACATATTAATGGAGTGCCATATGATGTGCCATGTGATGTTTCAAAACATGTATACATATAATGCTTAGTCAAGTTAAATGTATCTCCTCAAACATTTTTCATCTCTTTACAGTGAAGACATTTAAAATTCTATCTTCTAGCTTTTTGAGATACACGGTATACAACTGCTATCTACTGTACCTAATAGTTGTTCTTAATTTGTGTAACTCTTCTTCTGAAATCAAGTCTGTTTTATTGATGAGGATGATATCTGCTAAAGCAACTTGCCTAAAATAGCAAAGAGAATAGATGTTAAAACTAAAATGTTAAGAAATTAAAAATAGAAACAACTCCTTTAAATAAAAATATCAGTTAAGAACTAACTACTAACAGTTTTATACAAGTGATTCAGTTACTCCTAATCTACTTAAGACAGTAAAAGTAAATTGTATTCATCACTATGTAAATTCAAATTTCACATGATAGTAAGAAAGTATTCACCTATAATCCCAGCACTTGGAGGTTGAGGCAGGAAGATAGCTGGACTATCAGCCTGGACTATACACAGTTCATTTAAGCCCAGCCTAAACTACATATCAAGACCTTGTCTCAAAAAAACAAAACAAAAAAAAGTATTAAGTACTCTTATTTGATAATCTAGAGCTATGGAAAGTTTACAAAAAGTTTACAATCAGAAGGATGATTTTGAACTCATTAATTATAAGGAAAATTTAAAAATTCAAATATTCAATACGATAGGAAGTCTATTTATTAAACTGTTTCTCATAATATGCACCATAATTTTCAAAGAATTACAGAAAACAAGTTCACTCAACATGAAATACTAATTGAATAGTTTTGCTTAAAAAAAATGCACTTCAGAAGATGTATCAAGATCTTGCACAAATATCTTCATCACTATAAATATTATCTCAGTAAAATATACAGAAATTTCAGTTAAAGAATTCAGTTGACAGAATGCTAGATAACAAAATAGATTATTTTAATTAGAGTTCTATTTTCCATTAACAGCAGTAGTACAACTAAGAAATCTTCCAACTTTCCTCAGTTCTTCAGGAAATTTTAAACACTGGACTATTTGTTTCTGAGTCTTATGCTATATATCAAACACAAATTTTCAAAACTAAAGTAATTCACTGAAAAAGTAGATTTCAACAGAATGTATGCACCAACGTTTCATTTCTGTTTAAGTAAATTTTATATGAATAAAGATGAAATGGAAATATTTCCAAATACAACCAGTTGCAAACTTTGAATTATTTTATTTCTATGGACTTCTATGTTTAATTCTTTTGGCTTTTATAACATTTTGTTATTTTCTTTTTGGCTCATTTATACTTTCGATAACAAACACTTCTATAAGGAAAAAAGTTGAAATAATGTTTAAATTCGTTCTAATTTGAATCATAATCATATGCCAAATGCAGTGTTTAGGTAGGATTACAAAACAAAAGGATATCATTCTCCAAAGTCATATGTAACCACTTGTTTGTTGTCTTTATTTTTTGCCTAAATCATCTGCACCAAATCGCAGGGGACTTCACTCTTAAACCCAGCAGCACAGTGCTGTCATCTATCTCAAATCCTGTATTCCATTAGCAAGAATATGCTTAAGGTAGGTAAGGTATTTTAAAGATTTATAAATCTAAAGATACATCAATTAGGCACATAAAAGAATTTAAGTTAAAAAATATTGTAGGTGCCAAAATATTTCCACATTTATTCTTCTATTCTGAAGTAGTGAACACTGAGATGTTAAAGCAGTGAGACAACTACTTTTTTAAAAAATAAATAATCCCCCAAAATTGTATGAGAATAAGAAAATATTTTAAGTGTTAATGTTTTCCAAAGTCCTCACAAAGAACTTCTGTGCCCAGCCTTCATTTTATACTGCAATATAAATGATTTTAAATAAAATGACAGGTTATTAGACCATTATGAACAGATACCAATAATTCATGGGAAAAAATAAAGTTGCTTAACTATGCTTTAATGTTTCTCAGGTTTTTTGTAGTTTCATATCAATGGTTTCTCTTTCTAATTAGCCACAATAAGTACAAACTTTAAACAAGAATACCTAGTAGCTTCATTGGTGAGGCCATCAGGTTTTTCTTCTGCTAAATGCTAAACAAAAACAAAGTTTTAAAAAAGTTACTATGGTATAGTACAAAATCTATGTGATCACAAAGGATTTTACTTTAGAGTCATTCTTCTTGCCTCTAATAAAGATTTCAACAAGTTCCTTTACTAAATAAATACATTCAGGAGCAACTATTCTGTTTTCTTGAAATTTTCCTACTTGATAATTGACAGCTAATAATTATAAATCTTAATGGGGTACAGTGTGATGTTTCAGTACATTTATACATTGAGTAATAACTCAGGACAGGTCATCCATTATGTTAAACATTTGTCACTGCTTGATGATGAAAACACTCAAAACCATCTCTTCTAGTTACTTTGCAATATACCATATAATACTGAATAGAACACCTTTCTGTAATAGAACACAAGAACTTATTCCTATCTAGCCACGACTTTGTATCCATTAACTAATCTCTCCCTCCTCTTCACCCTCTTGTAACTATTATTCTGCTCTTTATGTCAATATGCTCAATTTTTTAGATTGCACATGAGTGAAATCATGGCTACTGTATTTGTTTTTCTGTGCTTGGCTTATCAAAACTAACTTTTTTATTTGAATGCATTTTTCTTCCCCACCTGCATTTATTTTTCAGACAATGAACCTGTAGGAGGAGGTTAGAATTCTGTACTCCTGCCCTTTTCTTTTTCTTAAATCCCTCAGGTTTGAACAATATGAAAATTATTGCACAGATATTCAGCATTTTCCTTTCCATAAAACTATTTTTGGTCTAAGTATTTATTGTTACTTATAAAAAGGGGGCTAAGTACTGTAATTATACTTTCTTAAAAATCTAACATACTTCCCCCTTCATTTCAACCCCATGTTCCACTCAACTCCAAAATCATGCTCGATATTAACTCAATATTGGCCTCTTCAAATGTCTCTTGAAACAAGAGAATTACGAAGCTGTGTTTACAGTTCTAATTCTGACCTAAAAGTAGTTTACTATTTGGAAACATACATTCACAACAATCTGGTATCTTAAGAGTAACCACTTATTTTATTGCTTTCTCTACAGCAGTGATGCAAACCTGTTAGAAACTGAGTACCCATACTGCAACTCAGAACCCACTCTCAAAAAGTGCCAAAACTGTACTTAATAGGAACATAACACAAATTTTGTCATAAAGGCACAGAAACACGGGTCTGCCACATCCACATTTATTCTTTAGAATATTTCTATTGATGAAGTATTAATTTTAACTTTATAAGTTTTATTAAACAATGATATTTAAGAGAAAAAAATCACAAAAATAAAGCACTGACTTTTTAATATTATAAAAAAGCATCAAAATTCTCAACATTGACTTTTTGGCACACAAAGTTTTAAAAAGAACAACACAAGTAACTTGTGTGAACTATAATGAAAACACAAAAAGAAATCTTCACTTCAATTATCACACCTAAAGCAGTTTGCACACATGACAACAGCATGTTCCATATACACGTATCACTTATACTGACAGCACATGCGTTTTTCTTTCCTGGCCTTTCTGTAGGACATACTTGACATCTCAGTTGTCTTACTGTTTCGTCAAGAGGTTCTTACTGTATTATACAGTGTGCAATGAACAGGAACATAAAATACCAATAAAATAAAGTATTAAATTTTCAGTATGTACTGTGCATTTAAAATAGACATCAGCATTTTCACATCAGCTGTGTATTTGCTTACGCAAACTAAAAGATAACATCAGAAATAAATTCCTACATGAACTACATGGAAATACCAAAAAACCTCTACAACAAAAATAAGCTTTGCTTCAACTGTCACACCCAACATAGTCTTCACACATGACAACTGCGTATTTCATGCACACATCTCGCTTACACCGACAGCATATGTGCTTAGCTTTCCTTTCCTATGTGGCAGTCTTGTCACCTCTCTTCTTTTCCTGTTTTGTCAGGAGCCTCCTACTGTATTGTACAACATGCACTTAGCAAGGAAATAAGATGTCAATAAAATAAAGTATCAAACATGTAATGAGTGCTTAGAATAGACATCAAGATTTTCACATCAGCTGTTTACTTGCTTATAAAACCTAGAAGATAACATCAAAAATAAAAACCTGTATGAACTACAATGTAAACAAAAAAGTCTACTACAGAAATAAGTTTTGCTTCAACTGTCAGTCTCACCCAAGATGGTCTTCACACATGAAAACTTCATGTTCCACACACAAGTATCACTTACACTGCTAACACATTTTATTTTCCTGTACTTTCTTGTAGGGCAGTTGACATCTTTGCTTTCCTGTTGTATTCAGTCTTTGTTGATGCTGTGCCTGCCTGTTCACCTGTCAGCTCACCTGTGTGTCTTCCACAACATTTTTGCCTAGTTCCCTAGGCCAAAACATTTTGTTTCTCCTCTGCTGTAAATGATCTCTTATGAGCTCCAGTCCTGATGCTCTAAGAAAATTTTTCCATGATATTTTGCACTTGTTATTTTAAGCTATCAAACTATTTATGCCACACATTTAGAATCAAGTAAAACACAACCACAGGCCAATGCTTTGTGTTTCAAGTGGCATCATAGTTGCTGCATAACTCAGCAACAACATCTACTGCAACCATGGTTTTGATGTAGCAAATTTCCCATCTCAGGCCTCCTTTTTGTCCAGTTCCCCTATCAATATTCCATCATGGTGAAATGTTGACATGAGCAGTACTAGTTTGTTTTTCTTTGCCATATACAAGGCCAATGTTATATCTTTCTGAAATCTAAAGTCTGTATTATACAATTCTGTTTTGAAATTGCAACATTTCATTTGGAATTTCTGCTTTGTTCCTGTACATAGTTCTTGCACTGGTCAACTTGTGCTCTGCTGGCAAATGTAACTTCAATTGGAAACTGTAAACCAATTGATGACTGTCACATACTGATTAGTTTGGGAGATGGGAGCAACAAGTTTGTTCATATCATTCGATTTATTACTATATGAATGAGGATCTGATGGCTGAGTTCCAGGATAAATGTCAAAGGTGAAAGCATAGTAAGTCTTCACATCCACAAAGGGCATAAATTTTTATTCTGTATCTTGACACATCACTTTTCAGTAAGTCTCTTACATTCCTGTGATCACCATGAGAAATCCCTGCTAGGTAGAGCAGACCTATGAATGCTTTCAGTTCAGCTAGTGAAGTGTCATGATAAATACATTTTGAATATGGATATTGGTACATACAGATGTTTTAACTTGCATTTCAGCCTTTGTGTACTTCACAGCATCTTGTAGCATATTATCTGTTACAATTTCCAACACTGAATGGCAGTGCTGCCATTCTGTCCAATACCTTTCACCCACGTCAAGACCCTAACCATGTTTTTAGACCTACTTCTAACACTGGATTGTTCCATTTGGTTGTGTGGCCATTTCACAACATTTCGACTAGTCACATACATACTCATATTGCTGTTCTTGTTATCATTTGAATCAAGAAGGTCTGCATTCCTTGTGTCTATATTAGCTGATTCTTGCTCCATTTCATAGTCACAGGAACTTGGCTCACACAGCCAACATCAAAGTCATCATCATCATCCACCCATACCACTCTTCTCTTATGAAAGCATGTCTTTTACCACAATGGACCATCTTCATCATCCACGCATGAGTAATCTGGTGATTAACTTTTGACCGCCTCCAAAACTTGCAAATATGGTTTTTCATGTGCCATTACTGAACTGGTCTACTTCTACCAGAAAAATCAAACTTTTTTTTTTTTTTTAACAAATCCTCGAGTGGTGCGGGTCTACTGGTCCCTTTGTGATGCTCAGGTAAAAACTCAAAACCAGTCAGATGGAACATAATGTGAGTAAAAATTCTGTTTTGCCACTTTTGCACATGTGCACACACCTTGCCATTTGTCATACCAAGTGGGTAAACACACAGATTGCTTCCTGTATCACTCAGAGAAAGGTACTGAGATGTACAGCTGGCCACTATTATGCTAAAATACAAATTTACAGTAAAAGTAAGGGATAGGTCTGCTAAGCCCAGTGTTGTGTTTCTAGTTTAAACCTGAAACTGAGGTTAGAAAAAACAACCCATACACTTGGCTTACATGTTGACCGAGAGGGCCTGCTATAGTTCATGTGTCATATGTTCACCACCATTGCTCCAGAGTCAGCCTAGCTCTCTCAAAAATATTTTGATATTGACTTAGAAGCACATGAAGTAGCAGTCATCTCTCTGAAAGCGGAAATTTTCTCTCGCCATCCCCTACAATCTTATTTACATCCTAAAGTCATCAGTGCCTTAAGGTTCTCCTTTGAAAAATCATGTTTTCACCTCAACTGTCAACAAAGGTTCCCTAACACAATAAAAAACTGGCTCCTGAGAGTTAGAGGCAACTAGATTAGAGTAGTACTCATTGTATTTGAACTTTATAAAGTATACATGTATTATCTCATTTTGACTTCATAACAATTATAGAAAGTGATTATTCTTACTTTATTAGGGAAAAAGTAACCTTACCAGCACAAGATACCATATTTTTATTACATCATCAGAGGCACTTTTTATTTTATGGAAAAAAATAAAACAAAATTTCAAAACTAAATAACAGAAGAATAACAATAGCCAATACATCTATCTTCAATGTAGTTACTCAGAGAATAAAATACGGACATAAAAAAATTCTCCAAACAGTATTACCACAAATTTTTCTTTTCAATGAACTAAGAGAAACTAGTAATGTAACTATCTTATTATTTTTCCTTTTCCCCTTCCTTCTTTTCCCCTTTCCCCTACCCTAGTCCCTCTTTCCTTTTGAACAATTTCTTCCCATTTCACAATATCTATTATAAATTTTGGACCTTATTTACTCTTTCACTTTCTCACACCAGGGAGACAGTACAATGTTTATACATGTGAGTCTGATTTATTTCATTTATGAGTATGATCTCAAGTTGCATTCATTTACCTATAACAGTCTCAAATTTATTATGGCTAAGTAGTCCTCCATTTTTAAAAAGACCACTTCTTTTTTACCCATTCCTCAGTTGATGGGCATTTGGGTTGTTTCCAAGACTTGCCACTGTAAACCATACTGCTATAAACATCGGTGCACATGTATCACCGTGGTATGATGTTTTTAATTTTTCCAGGAATATACCAAGAAGGGGAATAGCTGGGTCAAATGAGACTTCTAATCCAATTTTTTGAGAAATTTTCATACTGACTTCCACACTGATTGCACCAGTCTACACTCACATCAACAAAGGTATATTTTTAATTGGCAACATACTCAATAGAAATAAAACGAATTTAAAATCTTTGTGATTGTCTTTTCATATCATAAAAAATCACCCTTGTACATGGTACTACCTGAGTGTTAATAACTGCCTAAAAGAATATATCTATAAAGATTATCTAAAAATTATATTCAAGACGACTTTACCAAGTTAGTTTCACAATTCATTGTGAAGTGATCATGAAGGTATTTGGGTAATTTGAAACCTAAACAAGTTGGTAGTGATTTTTACTTAATAATCTTGATTAAGACTATGAACAAAAAAATCTTTTTTTAAGTTTATCAAATAATATTTGAAGGAAACAAAACTAAACTAATACCATGGCAATGACATACTCATTTTCACTTTAGGTGTGAAATAACAAGTCCTATTACTATATACTCTGTCTCTACAGAATGAGGCTACTATCAGAAGTTAGAATACTGTCTGGCACACAGGGCCAAGAAATATTCCTTGAATGACTGTTACAAATACCTTCCTATTTGTTGAAATGGGTACATAAATATTATTTGAAAAATGGCATGTAATGGCATCTATGCTATCTAACATGTAACAACAAATCCTTCTCCACTGAGCAATAAATCTACTTAACGGCGATATATTATTAGCAAGGCATTTGCATCTGGATAATCCTTTAATATTGAAAATTATTTGAAAAATATAAAATACTTTTCAAGATATTGCATTACTAACCTTTTGGAACTTCTTTTACATATAAGTTTGAGTTATTTAGTCATGAGTTGATGGGACATAAAAAGGGTATAAAAAATTAGGAGGTTTTTAAATTTCCATCTGAAACTGGTAAAATGGTAGTTTTACAAAATTATTCACAGAGGTTTGAATCCATTTACTTCTTCAAAAGATTAGAAATCTAATACTCAAAGCTAACTGGGTCGGGGGGGATTGTCTAAGATTTACTCTCTCCAGCAGTAAGTGTTAAATACAAAAGTAAGTCAAAGCCTTCTAAAATAAAAGCCCACCAATATGCACAACTCTATAAAGAACATGTAATAATCATATATAATTAGAGCAGAAGAGATAAATGCCCTATTCTATCTATATATGAAAGCTATGCAAACAAAAAATACATACTAACAATTTTTTCTTCTGAGTGTCAGCCCAACATTTCCCTTATAAAACTTTCTTCCTCTACAAGTCAAACTTTGCAAAAAGTCAAAAACTTCTACCTGTTATTTCATTAATAAAACAAAAACAAATGTAAATTTTGATACTCTATTCTACTAGATACACCTGTGAAAAAAAATTCCACAATGATTTTTCCAAAATGTTTTTTTATGTACGTCCAAAGGATTCCACATCTCTGCTGAGAGACTATAGCTTTTGCTTATATATCAAGATAATAATCTGGGCACTGATTAACCCCAACATACACAAAATGTAAAAGTCCAAACTCCTAGTGTAGCCCACAAGAAACACAAGGGAACAGGGGGAGTATGAGACACTATTTAAAGGGTACGAAGTTTCAAATATGCAGGATAAATTATGGAAAGCTAATTATAGCATGGTGACAATAGCTAAGACTATTGCATTGAATACTTAAAATCTGCTGAGTTTAGATATTAAATGATCTCACCCCAGACACCACCAAAAAATGGTAACTATGTCAACTCATAGATGTGTTACCTTGTTTCACATTTTTCATAATATATGTATATCAAAACATCAAGCTGTATACCTAAATATATAAATTATACCAGTTATACCTCAATAAAGCTAGTGGGAAAAAATGAAAAGAAATACTTTAAAATAATACTGTTATAGATAAAATGTTAAGAAGGGCTATAGAGTGTCCTTTTCTGCAGAAATAAAGAAGCTCAACAAAAACAGTACAGAAAAAAACTATCTTAAAAGTCACTTGCAAAGAAGGAACACTGTTGTTGACCAAAGTGGAAATACATCTAGTGTCATATTCACTAAATGGCATTAAAAAGGAAAAAAAAAAAAAGAAGCAGCTATTGTTTTTAAACGAATTGGTTACAGATGTAACATCATTTCAGTTTTTTAAAATATTGCATAATGTCAGTATTTATTTTTCTGGCCTTTTCCAAGCCGAAATGTTTTCTAATTCAACTGTCTGAACAACTTGTACAATATAACAGAAGAACCAAAAAGAAACCTCTCACTTGACCTTTCCTGTGTAACTTCATTCATTGATTCTATTGCATTAAATGCTGTCACATTTGTAGAACTGAAGAGAACAATGTCAGTAGGCTGGATGTCAAGTTCTGAAAATAGAGAGCTGTCATTTTAAGTTGTCCAATTCTTTGCCCATGATTAAAAAATGAATATTTCAGATCAATGGGTGACAATCCCATTAGAGTGATAGCCCATGATATCAATTACCACTTCAGTTTCAATTTGGCTGGCTGGCCACAGGGTACCATTTCTCAGCTTTACTTGTGATGGGCTGGCTCTGTGAAGCATGACACCCTTAAATTGCTGCCCATTATCCAAGTGTCATTACTTGTACTGCCTCAGAATTCTCTGAATCACAAGCAGCTACTAAGGTCAAGCTTTGCAACCAGAGGAATTGGACAAGTTGGGAAATTCTTTATATAAAGGCAAAGTTATTTATCTGGTACCCAACTTAGAAAATCTAAAGTTTCCATTATCCTGACAGTATGTCAGTTTTGTGTAGGTATATTGATTTAATAATTTAAGAGGTTTTATCAAGGTGGCAGGAGGTTAAACGTATAATGTGTTTGCATTATTCAGAATGTTGCTTTGGTTTTTTTGGCCTGTATCATGCTGATAATAGATTCTATTTAACTCTTCTCTACACCCACCTATACACACAAAATTATTCCTATAATCATAAAATAACAAAGAATTTGACTTTGAGTATGGTGTGGTAAGTCTATAAAAAAAAAAAAAAAAAAACAAATGAAATATCCTGGGTGCTATCTCTCCCATAAGTATCCCAAACTGAGAATAAATTTGTATAGGATATGAAGTCAAACAGGCCTATAAAAAGTCTCAAAATGAAGAATTTTATGGAGTATTTTCCTATCTCCATTAACATTTTGCTAGAAATAATTTCAAAATAGTCATTAAATTTTTTCTGAGCAAAACTAATATTTGAAAGCACTCTTTGATTCCTTAAGTGTATTCATCAATTCATTTTTAAATTCTAAAAAAAGGAATTATTTTCTGAATTTCTCCAATTAGTGCACTCTACTCCGAGGAGAAGTGACAGGCTAGGAAATGTGTATTAGTATCCATTTGATAACCCCAAAATATTTTCGAAGCTATAGCATAATCTCATTGAAGATTTGAAATAAATTTGCAGAATATAAAAGACATAAATTTCTAAACACTGAAATTAAACTTCCAAAAAGTATTATTGTAGGCCCTGTCTATATATCCAGACTGAGGTGGAGTAGGGACTGGCAGAAAAGGAAAATTTTATTCTCTGATGCCTTTGGTAATATTTCACTTGGGAAGTTGGGAAACACTATTTATTTTATGCAGCAATATTCTTTTAAAGCTCTACATGCATTTTATACATTGAAGCCAATTAAATGCACTGAAGGACCTTAGCAGTTAATAAAAATAGCCGGGATGGTGGCACAAGCCTGTAATCCCAGCACTCGAGAGGCTGAGGCAGGAGAATCATTGCAAGTGCCAGACCAGCCTGGGCTACAAAGTGAGCTCAAGGCCAACCTGAACTGCATAGTGAGACCCTGTCTCAAAAAGACAAAAGAAAAAAAAAACAAAAATATTCATAGCAGGGTGTCTCTTCATAAAGTTTCTCCTCACTGATGCTACATAAAAATCCTAATGTCTTCAAAGAAAGAAAGCAGTACTTTAAAAAACAATTGTTGCCTACGGTATTTGACCACACTTTATAACAAAAATAAAATTGTATGTTTTAACAGCCTCAACATCTTCTATCACATAGAAAAACTTATCAATACTGGGGTTGAATTCTAGTGAGGAGTTAGACATACCCAAACTTTACCTGGGCCCCAGATATAAAGTATTATAGTAATTCCAAATTTTATCACAACATGAAATCAGACTAATACAGAAGAAATATTCAATTTAAAGACAAAATAATTTTAAAACAAATTATATTATTCAGGATACTATTTTGAAAAAGATTTCTGTTAAACGTTTCAAACATATATAAACATATTCCTAGATCTTTGCAATTAGCAATTTATAATGTTTCAACTTACTTTTAATCCATATTTTGAATCTACAACAGTTATGATACCTACAAAGGAATAAATATTTTAATTGTCCTTTTGTAAAAAGGTGTTTATTAATATTGTACAACTATACTTATGATGGAAAAACAATCTCTTTCAGTTCACAGATGCTAGTCGATCAAACAAACTTTTTTCCTTACCAATGCTGCAATTTAACTCGGTCCCAGGAATATGTAAATGCATTTCAAATATGTACCAAGTGCCTAGCACTTTCTTAAGACATTAAAGAAGACATAAACATAAATAAATTTTTAAGATTAACAAGAAAGTAAGACTTGATGTTTAAAAACTTACAATTCAAAATATGGTATTCAAAATATAAAGCAAAATATGATAAATTAGATGATATAGGATATTTTCAATTTATTTTCACATAATCAAAATTAAGACTTCTTAACATTTAAATTGTTATATGAAAGAATCTTTAGGGCAAATTTAGTTATCATTAAAATACTGAAATTTTACACTAATTTATAGAAATAAATGTGTATTGCATCTAGAAGGATGAATATTATTATGACATTAGGGGTAGCTTTGAAATACATACCAATCTGAATTCAACAATATGAAATTTGTTTTGTTTTGTTTTGTTTTTCCAGTACTGGGAATCGAACTCACAACGTCACGCTTGCCAGGCAGGTGCTGTGCCACTGAGCTAAATCCCCAGCCCTGAAACGTTTTGTTTAAAGCAATATATCTTTATGCTGGATGTTTGAGGAAATATTTAAGAGAACAAACACACTATGGGAAAAAAAAAGAATCTTAGGATACCTCATTTCTAATATCTCTTACCAAATCAAGCCACAAAAATTTTGTATATATCAAGTACCTAAGAGTTCCCTAAATATCAATTACAGAAATCTCTGAATATATGCCAAATAATTTTTTTCAAACTAAAACAGCAGATCGAGTTTAAGGATGCCTATGGAATTCAAACAGCTACAAATCAGATATATTATACTCCAATGAAGCCCAGCTTCCATGATTCCTCAATTTTATTGTTAGTCTATTAAAACTGATGTAAAGAAAAGTAAGAGAGAAAAAGGAGGGTGGATGGATGGAATAAGGGGATATAATTGCTTAACTAAGAAAGGTATATCAGGTTTAATTTATTAGTGAGAGTAACAACAGTGAAATAAGTAAGGGTTTGTGTGTGTGTGATCAATTCTTATCTTCAAGGTAAAATGAAAGAAAGCAGAAATATGATCCTTACATTATCTGGCTAATTAAAATAAGAAGCTAACACAGTAAGAGCATAAATCAAACAACCGAAGGCATAGAAAATCTACATAACATTTTTAAAGAAAAACCTTAGTGAAGGGCTGAGGATTTAGCTCAGCGGCACAGTACCTGCCTGGCAAGCGCAAGGTCATGAGTTCGATTCCCGATCCTGGGAAAAAAAACCTTAGTGAAACTGCTAAACTAGGACTGCTATTAAAGCTTGACAATCCAGTTCTGCCACTGTCTGTAGTTTTGGAGTCCACATAAAAATTTACTTCATCACAAACGAAAAGAATTTGAGAACAATAATTGAAGGAGTTGAAATTATAAACAAAATGAGCTTAATCATAGAAATTTCAACTAAAAACAAATTATTTTAACTTACCATCAAGATAAATATCACTCCCTAGTTCAGCATCAACCCAAAATATAGCAGCCACAGCACCTGAAAATATATATTATGATAATATTCATTATATAAAAATATTTCTTCAAACTGCAAAACATGATTTGTTTAATTTGTTTGATGGAATCAGCAGGTAAGCACACAAATCAAATATGAGACTCCAATTTTCTTATAAGACTTACTGTAATAGGATCTTTTACTATTTAGTCACCTCTACCCTTTCTCCCTATTACCTCAAAAAAAAAAAATCAACTCTTGCCACACACAAACAACTAGAAACAGATGACAAAATGATTTCACCAATAGATATTATTAAACAATCAGACATTATGGCTATGTACATATATGACATTTTTATTTTTCATCTCCTAAATATAATCATATGGTTCATAACTAATGAAACATCCTCAAAGAAAAACCCACAGAAGGTAAATAATTCCAAAATTGCTTGTTCAAGTAATATATAAGTAAATAAATGTGTAATTTTTTAGGAGAAAAGGAATAAGTAAAGTTATAAATTCTCTGGCATTACTAATTCTCACACTATTCACTTGGTAGTGCTATAAAACCTGGGTCTGAGGAAAAATTATTTCTAAATAAGAAATTAAAACTTGTTTTTGACAGAAACTGGTTCAGTATCAAACCACACACCCTGATTAGTATGCCATAACACAAGAAAAGGAAAACTGACAACAAGGAAGGTATTTGAGTTTTCAAAGCATCACAGGCCCAGTTAGTGACAGTGCTGTCTAAAAGAATGAGCACAGGGGAAAAACAAGGATAACTGAACTCATTCCACTGTCTAAAGCTGTCCACCTACTCTGACGAGATGTGGTCCCCCAAGCATCACCCTGTGTCAACAATGAAATACCTGTCAGCTGTTTACAGTGATTACTCATGCAAGATATAGCAAGGGCCACAAGATCTAATGGTTTCCTGATACCTATTGATTTTTTCCCAAAAACTTAATAGTTTTCCAATTTGACTGAAATAGGATTTGTGAGTTACAGGGGCTGAATCAATGTCTGTCTTTTTCAAGGAAATTACTTTACCATGACAATTATTTAGCTTAGAACCAGAGAGTGTCAGTCTCCTAAACAGGAAACAACTGAATTGCCAATAAGAATTTTCTTCACTTCCTTAGCTAAAAACATGATTTTAATTAATTGGGAAGAAATCTATTACAACATTACTCCAAATAGTAAGTCACAAAAATATTAAGATTTTCATTCAGTAAAATACTTAAATTGTACATTAATTATATAAATTCTAAAAATTTATGGATTTCTATAGAAATAAACAGCTTGTAAGTCATACCACTAATGTTTGCTTATTATTAAGGTGAACTGTAAGAGTGTATTAGAACTTTTATTCTAAATATGTGGTTTACTTTGCTAGAGTATCTACCAGCTACACAAGAATTACTTAAAATCTGGATGCGGGTGTTCAGCTGCAGTAATAAAATGAATGAATTGAGTGATTTTTTTTCTTCCCAAGGAATACTTAGCAATGTCTAAAGATAACTTTGTTTGTCACTAGGGAAGTGCTATTGGTATCTAGTGGGTAAAAGCCAAGGAGATGGCTAAACATTCTACATATCCCCAAGACAGCTGCCCTACAAATAAAAAATAATTATCCAAACTGTGGAGGACCACCTGGGTGACTCTCCTTGAAGGAGGAGCAATTGTCTCCATTTTGGCTAAATCTGACCCTATTTCCATGTATTGATATGTACAGAGCTGGCTAAGACTTTTCCCTACCCCTCAAATGGCTTTAAGCAATGCATATTGCTCCAGACAAGGTGATCATGTACAGTCTTTGAAGCAAAGAGGACAAGCAGTGTTTCCCCGTACCCCTATTGCTCCCATGTGTGAGCCCGAAGGAGGTGGGATGAAGAGCTAGTGCTCCACACTGTCGGCTCAAGATAAGAGGCTATGACTTCCCAGGGCTTAAAAAATTACACATCAGAGCTGAAGCACTACCCTAAAACATTAGATACTATCTCAATTGTGTTATGCAGATTATTCTTTCTGCATATTGCAGAGGTGATTTCGGGCCTCCTACCTAGCCCTTCAAGGCATTGTGTACTTCCTGCCACTCTCACAATCACTTATCCTCAAACCATTCCCTTCTTCACAAATGGATAAAACCCAGGTTTGGTCCCAGGTCAAGGCCTTTGTTCCAACTAGCTATCACTGTAAATGGACTTAGGACTCCTTGGCTCCCCATAACTACAAATATGCCTTAGGGTCTTTCTTTCCAGAGTGGGTTGCACTAGAAGTGATAGATTGGAATTAACTCATTAGAATTCCAGTAACTTTTCCACGGGATTACAAATATAAACTTCCTGGGCTGCAACCAGGACCAGGAAGGGCTCTTTATACCAAATCAAAATGTCATTTGTACCATGGCCAAGCTAGATTACAGATCTTTCTTTAAAACCAAATAAAATAAGGCTGAGGCAAAAGGATCACTGTGAGTTTGCGGCCAACATGGGCCACATAGTAAGTTCAAGACCAGCCTGAACTATATAGCAAGACACTGTCTCAAAAAAACAAAACAACAAAAATACACCACAAAAAATAATCAAAATTTTAAAATATAAAAAAAGAATATAGAACCTCATACCATAAGTTTTGAGGAGTGGCAATCCAATTAAAAACACAATTCTGCTGGGGATATAGCTCAGCAGCACAAGTGCCTGTCTGGCAAGTGCAAGGTCCTGCTGAGTTCAATTTCCAGTACCAAAAAAAAAAAAAAAAAGAAAGAAAGAAAGAAAGAAAAAAACACACAAAACTAAAAAGCAAAGTTCTATGTAAGTTATGGTGATTCCTAATTCTATTTCCATCCTCAGTAAGATGGTTGGAAAACAGTTTGCAAAATCCTAGTACCTATCAGAAATACCTTATAAAATGCCAATTAGTGGAAATGAGGAAATAAGTAATATAAAAAAAATCAATAACAACATTAAAACACTTCAAGAATAGTTTCTAACCATCTCCACATTTGGGAGAGAGCAAGCCACTTTCCCGGTCTGAGAGCAAAGGACACAAAAGGTCTGGGGTCCAATGTTGTCTCCTCTCCACACAAGGTTTTCTTATACACTCCAATAATTATACTCCCAAGAGCAGGATATACAGTATTTTCAGAGAATAAAAGCGAATAGCCACATTGCCTCATTGAGCTTTTTAGGTTACCCATTTTTACTCTGCTTCCCTCTAATCCCTAGTTGTATACAGCTTTAAACTGGAACTCAAGAAAAATATGAACAGGTAAGATGGGTGGGTTATTGCAAAGAATTCCTCAACAACACATCTAAATAAATAAAGTTCGCTGAGCCCCCCACATCAAGCATAAATGTATGCACATGTATTACAGCAGAAAAAACAAACACAAAGATAAAAATTAGGACAGAAAAAATATTGAAAAAGTGAACAGGGTATACATATGGCAAAGAACCAATTCTGGAAGGAAACAAAATCCAAGAGACCAAAGAGAACTGCTTTGAAGACACCAAAGGACTTTTTCATAACAAAGAACTTAAAGGAAATGCAATCTTAATAAAAAAAAAAAGCTTCAAGGAAAGAAAAAATACAATAATATGAAAAGATAGCGCTAAAGAAATTTGGACACAATAAACTCAGTTAACCATTACTCAACTGAACTGCTTAACTTCATCTAAAACAGTAATGAACAGAAGAGACATTGGTAGAAGCAGAATTAACTGATAAAAAGACTGTAGATGATCACAGTAAATGGAGATGCAAAATATGAACCAAAACGGTTATATTAGGAAACAAATAAAACGCAATATGAAGAAAGAAGCAGAGCATCCAATAATTTGACAGAAAAAAATTGTTCATGGAAATAAACAAGAAAAATGTCCTTACAAGAACTAAGGGTACATTGTATTTCAAGAAAAATGGACCTTATGTATATTACTGAACTTCAAAAATAAAGAAAAAAATAAAGAAAAAGTTTTTCAGGCATTTCAGATGAAAAAGCAAGTCACTTGCCAGGAGGAGAGGGAAATGCAAATTCTACAGTTACATGGAATGTCCTAGTATAATAAAACAGTGACCACACAGTTCTAATGTAAGTGCTCTGAAAGGATAACTGCCAAGTTAGGTTTCAGGGATGTCAGACAGTCTCAAACATTACAACTTAGTATATTGCTTACAAATTGTGATAAAAGGAGAAAACATTGGGCAAGGTATTCAGCCAATCAAAAAATACTAAGAAATTACATAGCAATATTTGCAAAGTCCTGAGGGAAAGAAATTATGATCCAGAAATTCTATACTGAACCAAATAATCCTTTAAGTAGTAAAACAAAAGACGAATATTCTCAAGTAAGAAACTATGCAAAAATTCAGAGAATACCTGACCATTAAATTCAGTTAACCAGGAAATGAATTGTTTTGTTTTACTGTGGTGCTATGGATGCTACCTAGGGCCTTGCACATAGTAGGTAAGCACTAAATCACCCAACCTCAGAGAATGTATTAACTCAGGAATGGAGAAGACAAGGTACTGATAATGAGCATCAAATCATTTAAACACAGAACAAAAATAATGAAAAAATATAAATATTAAAACCTTGACAACATAAAGAATACAATCCAACAAAATTAGGAGATGCGACAAAGTTAAGGTCATAATTTGCTCATCTTTTATGAGATGGAGTCAATAAATACTCTTTGAAAATTGAAAAATGTAGTTTAAATGTCTATTTTATGTTCTTCATAATTTGTTTTTTCTTTTTAATTTGTATCTTTTATGAGGGAAAAGCATTTTATCTGAAAGCCAGCAATTCCTTCACTTATTCTTCAGTGTCTCTTTCTTCTGTTAGATTAAAATAAATGTAAATTAATAATTATTAAAAATATTCTGTATATTTAGACAGCTTTCAGACGACCACAGAGAAAGGCTTCCCAAACTAATACCAGTGGAAATACTAGCGGAAGAATCACCTGGAGGACTTACTAAAAAGACTTGCTGGGCTTCACCATCAGAGACTAAGCAGATTTGGGTTGTTCTCAATAACATGCTTCTTTTTTTATTTTTTTTTCCAGTACAGGGACTAAACACAGGCCTTCAAGATGAACTACAACCCTGTTCTTTTTTATTATTACTTTGAGACAGAGCCTCACTGAGTTGCTAAGCTGCCCAGGCTGGGCCCAATCATGTGATCCCCCTACATCAGCCTCTCCGAGTGCTAGGAAAACAAACCTGTTCTACCAAACCCAACTAATAACATGCATTTCAAACAAGCTCCCAGCTGAGATGGATGCTGCCATTCAACACAGCATATCATGGATCACTGTCAGAGACATCTGGAATGAAATGTATTAAATCGTATTTCATGGCAGTGATAAAGAATTTTTAAAATTTCCCTTCATTTTTCTATTTTTGGTATTGTTTAAATTCTTTTATACTTTACTCACTTTTATCCAAACAAAAAAATCGTTATTCTATAAAAAGTTAGAAGAAACATTAATCTATTTTTAATACTTACAAATGAACAAAAGCTTTCTGAGATCTTTCTCCTCTTAAAAGTAATGAGAATTTTTCGCATAAAATGGCAGAAACAAACATGAATTCTATTTCTGAAAGAAACTATTATTTAGTATTTCAAAAGGGAGACATATATAGCCAGGTGTAGTAGCTCATACCTGTAATCCCAGCACTTTGAAGTTGAGGCAAGAAAATCACAAGTTTAAGCTTAGCCTGGATAACTTAGTATGACCTTGTCTCAAAATAAAAAATAAAAAGGGCTGGAAGTTAAGAAATAAACCTTCAAATTCTATTAACAGCTTAAAAGTGCCAAGAAGTACTCTGATCATTCATCTGATACAATCCAGAATTTTGCTGTTTTCAACCAAAAAAAAGTTTAAATCTAAAGTAAAGCTTTAATACTCATTTTAAATGTCTCTGATACATATATTCAAAATGTCAAAGAACTATCTTCTAGTTATTACTAATGTTACTTCTTACCAGGATCTGCTAACCCAGTGGTCTCTAACAGTATGTAATCAAATTTCCCCTTCTTCTGCATCAAATTCTCAATAGCCCTAAGGCCACTGTCCCTAGAGAGGATCAAAACATATCACAGCTGATTACTCAAATATTTTAAATGATCATGATAAACATTTCAAAACATATTCAATAAAATAACATAATAATATCTTTATGCATATGAAAATTTAACTCTTTTCTAAGCATCTAACAAAATGTCTATCCAATATTAACCAATGAGGAAAAGGAAACAGACACATACACAGATAAGTTGAAAGAAATTATGTATATAATGAGTTAATACTTTGACTTGTTAAAATTGAGTCAGTATTTATTTTTACAGCTTTCTGAGAGAAAAAAAAAATCAACATCCAAAATAATAATAAAATTTATTACTTATAGTAGTTTAATAGCTAAAGGGACAGTGTCGTTAAACACCATTTAATTCTCTATCTTGAATTAGCATACAATTCTATTCTGAATTATAGTATTATCTATTTTTCTTATAATACCAAAAATTAAGGAATACTGTACCACATTTTGGTTAAGAAAATCTGTTATTAGGGGCTGGGGATTTAGCTCAGCGGCACAGTGCCTGCCTGGCAAGCGCAAGGTCGTGAGTTCGATTCCTGGTACCGGAAGAAAGAAAATGTTATTAAGCCAGGTGTGTGGCGCTGTGCCCTAGTAATCCCAGCACTCAGGAGGCTGAGGCAGTAGGATTACTATACATTCAAGACTAGCCAAGGCTACATAAGTGAGTTCAAGGCCAGCCTGGGCTACATAGCAAGACCATGTCTCAAAAAAAACAAAAAACAACAAAAATCTGTTATTACTGCATTCTACCTAATACATTTGATTCAAACATTTAAGGTAGTACATGATGTAGAAAAAGTTTAACTCACTAGAATACACACAATCAATAATACATGTATTAATTTTCATAGTTTATCCAACAAATATTTTAGTTGCTACTATCTGTCAGATACTCTTTTAGAATTTATGCCGGCTTAATAAACAAAATAAACATTATCTGGGAAACTGATGGAATACACATAAGATTTGCTTTGATAGTTATTTATATTTGTTTTTAAATAGGTTTAATATTTAGAAATGACTGATATACGGGGGCAAGGGATATAGCTCAGCAGCATAGTGCTTGCCTGGCAAGTGCAAGGTCCTAAGTTTGATTCTTGGTTCCAAGAAAAAAAACAGAAATAAAACTGATGTATTAAATCCAGAATAACCATTTTTTACATATAACCTTTTCATGAGTGTTCTCTCTCTCCATATATATATGTATGGTTTTTTTGGGTTTTTTGTTTGTTTGTTTTTGGTGAGACAGGGTCTCACTATGTAATTCAGGCTGAACTTGAACTCACAGTGTTGCCCAGGCTGGCCTGAACTCATCCTCCTGCCTTAGCTTTCCCAGTTCTGGGATTATAGGTATATAGGCATATGCCACCACACCTTGCTTGTCCTCTATATACTATTAAATATACCTTAAATGGAAAAAAATTTTTAAGCCCAATAAATGGATAAAAGCATTAGAGTAAATAGGAAAAAATAACACGAAACACTTTAAGAAAATAACTAAAAATTTATTTCCTATTTGAAAATACAATGAAGCAACTGTCTAAATTCAGTTAATTTACACAGGACAATCAAAGCTGGAATAAACATTTCCAGTAAACTAACAAGCAGAGTAAACACATTCCTACTTCACTGAACAGCAGAGGCAACCATTTCCAAGTTCCAGCCACTCTTCATAGAGCTCTCCACCTTGACTCACAGCTAAGGATTTCTCTACTGCACTTCCTAGAAAAATTCACAGGAGGCACTCTTTAGACTATTTGCAAGCCAACCAAAAATAAACACGAGATTTCAAAGCAATAACTATACTGTATAATTCTTATTCTTTCATTCTATGCATTCAGTTTTATGATTAAAATTATAGTACTCTAGATTGTTTTTGCTTTTAAGATGTTTAAACTTCTAAAAAGGTAATCTCAAAATTAATGAACAGGGGCTGGGGATTTAGCTCAGCGGCAAAGCGCCTGCCTGGCAAGCGCAAGGTCGTGAGTTCGGTTCCTGGTACCGGAGAAAAACCAAAAAAAAAAAAAAAAAAAAAAAAATTAATGAACATATCTATTTCCTCTTTAGGCCTCTTACTTGCTAATCTCCATTTTTTAATAAAGTAACAACCTTGAAAACATTTTTCCTCATCTACAGTAAACCTTCTATGTAGACTAATATGTCTTATATACAGGGATTGCTTTTTGTATGCCCTTTAAACTCTTTATCAGATTGTCTTATCTATTTTTTTCTTTTCACTCTTCTTCTACATTGATTGTTTTTATTGGAGAGAATGCCCAGTATTCCCAGGATAAGTAAATATCTTAGTTCATTTTGAAGGGGCTTTTGGCCAAGGTATCATACTCTCATTTGAAATTAAACTTTTAATCAAATATACAAAAGTTTCCTATTAATGCTTACTTGGAAAGAAGCACATATAAGATGTTTGTTACAAGAATGATTTTAAATGTTTTAGTTTACCTGCAATAAAGAAATATACCAGGGTGGGGGCTATAGCTCAGGGGTAGAATACTCACCTAGCATCTGTAAGGCCCTGGGTTCAATCCCCAGAAGAAAAAAATAAAGGAAGAAAGAAAGTAATATACTCAAGTCAGAGAATGATTCTAAATGTTCAGTAAAACAAGTGGTCAAATGCAAATGTGTAAATGTGTGGGGGGTAGTTTTTCATTTATATATTTTCCATTCATATTTCAGCTAGGTGATATAAAGAGCAAAGGGGTTGCTTCAGAATTCAGGCTATATAGAACATTAACAAAATATGAAGGAAAGTACTGAGAATGCTGTGAAAGACAAAACTGAAGATTATTCTAAGCAATAAAGAAAAATAAATAAAATACAGTAAATGTAATCAGTGGTCAAGAGAAAGTAAGTTAATAAGAAGCTAGGAAAAAACTATTTTTAGAAATCCTAGGATTTCTAAGGGACTGGAGGTATAGTTCAGTGGAAGAGTGCTTACCCAGCATGTGTGAGACCTAGGATTGACCCCTACCACTGTGAAAACAAAACGAAAAATGAAGAAGAAGAAAGAAAAAGAAAGCTTAGATTTATTTTGTCTAAAAGGCTTTTCCTCTTTAGTCTGCTGGATCCAGAAATTAAATTTTACTAACATATATTCCATTCTGTTCATAAAACCTAGCTTTTTTACTCATTTACAACTGAAAAAATAATACACTTAAAGAAATGTTCTAACAGAAATCGTATTTTTGAGTGAAAGTGAGATTTTATTGAATTTCATACTTGTGAAGTAAAATTCCTATGAAAGCAATCAAAGTATTATGTCTAACACTGCTATACAGACTTTTTACTACAGTTGAATATTAAAGCCGAAACACTGAAAAGTTAAGCACATATATTTTTACAGATAATTGGAGCTGCCTGAGGATGGAGACTAGATGTTTAACTTATTTTTAAAATCTTCAGTTTGAACTGCTTTGCAGATAACATTCAAGGTGAATCTGTATCTGAAGCATTTTCAGATGTTTTTCATGAGTTGTGATAACAATATGTAGTCAGTATAAAAATACTTTTTAGTTGCTAAAATCACTTTACTTCAAGTGTTTATAGACTTTTACTTCAGTAGTCACTTATTTTATGTAAAAATCTGTTAATTCTCTTAGTATGAATTCCAAAGTTATACAAAATAAAATTTTATAGAAACTATTATTTCAGTATCCCAAATCCATACAAAATAAAACTTGAAACAAATTAATTTTTCCAAAGCTATCCCCATCAGTGTGTTAACATTATAATACCTTCCATTCTCATTTTTAAATAGAGCATATCAATTCACCAGTGGAACAAACTGTCCTGTAAGTTCTTGCAATATGACACATTAAATTCTACTTACCTTCACCAAACTCATTTAAAATAACTGCTATTCTTTTACTATGTTGCTCTGTTAAAATGTAGTTCAGTAGTGTTGTCTTCCCAGCACCTATAAAATATATTAAAGCAACAAAATTCAAAGACTAATTTTAAAGGTACAAAAAAGGATATTTTTAAAATTCTATTACTTTTAAGCATCTATATGCTATTTTTCATATAATATTCTATTATGGTATAGGCACATGTGTGTCTAACCCACAGCCTGTGAGACATATGTGACCTTGGACAGCTAGTAATGAGGCCCTAAAATATATTACTTTTATATATAATAAAACATGTCTTAAAAGGAAGTTTTATAACATATATACATTAACTATATTACATATTTTTTACATGTGGCCCAAGACAGTTCTTCACCTAGTGCAACCGAGGCAAGCCAAAAGGTTGGACACTCAAGGATGGGGAATTCTAAAGAAAAAGATGAAAGCAATCTTTCAAAACTACTCTAATATGCTTTATAAATGCTTCATATAAGTATTTACAAATAATCCTACAAGTTCAGTTTTTCTTCAATCTAATATGACTAGCATTCCTTCTTAACTTGTAAGAGCATCTAAAACTTCTATTAACTAAAGAATCAATGAAATAATGACTTCTAAGAAATAAAGGGTATAATTTTAAAAATGTAAAATATGTAAATCCTTTTACATGATAATATTTCTAAACCAAGAATATTTCTAAAGTTGACCTATCTTTTATGTCCACATCAATTAACCAGATACAAATTCAAACTGCATGGCTACTTTTAGCATGCTTAAAACAATCTATAAAACTGATATTTCCAAATTGGGGAATAGAAATAGGAAGTGTTAAAAGAATGTCCAGTATTTAAAAATATATATTCATAAAGCTATACTAAGCCTATCCAGTAGGTGGCATGTTAAACCTAGTACTGTATACACTTACAAAATAGAACAAACATGTGATCAAACTAAACTTTTTAAAGGAAGGAAAGAAAACCTTCATTGCATTGCAGCATTGTTCAGTTATATGAATACAAGAATATTATTTTATGTTAGTGACTGTTTCTTGTTTTACTACTATATAAAAGCTTTTAAAAGTACATAGCTTATACAAGGTGTGATTGAAAAAACTGCTTCAGAAAGTGGCAAGAACAATGGGTAAGTGTATTCAAAGGGAGAACATTTTAAGGGGGGCTAATGGCAATGTGTCTTTTACTGTAATAAATTTTTAAACATTCATCATATATTTTGATTACACCTCTTGCATTTGCCAAGTTGTGTACGGTGTATCTCGGAAAGATTTAGGAAGTGTTGGGATATCAGTATTTGCAACATTTTTAGATTATATTCTTTTAAAAGCTTTTGAAGAGATGAAAGCTTATGTCAGAGTGATTTATGAAGCTCAACATTACAGAAGTGAGGTACAGAAGGTACAGACTTTAAGGAGACAGAGTACTGAGGAAATTCTTAAGGCCAGTCCATGTGTGAGTTGAGACAGCTTCTCAACTAGTGAAAATTAAAGGCAGATGCAAATGTAAGAAACCCTCTAACAGAATTACCAGGGCTTAAGAGGTAACTATATTTGGAAGAAGAAAGACTTTAAAATACAGCTCATTCATCCAAAAGTATCTACTGTGGATCAGACGACCATACTTATGCTGGGTCTTGGGTGAAAGCGAACACGCCAAAGACAATCTCTGCCTCCACGACACTTACAAATATTGCAAGAGATGGTGGGGGATTCAGATGCACGAGGCAACTAGGTGATGGTACATTCAGAATGCCAGTTGCTATGAAGAACCGAAGAGGGACATCTAGCCAAAGTAACAGTAAGAAGAGCAGCCCAAGGAGCTAAACTACATGGCATCTTTTAAGAAGTAAATGAGTTTAATGCGCTGGGCCACCTTTTGGCAGTCTGCAGAGGCTGAAAGAGCCAGATCACACAGATCCTTGTAATTCACGTTAAGGAATCTGAACTTGATTTGCCAGAGGTCTCACGGATAATTAGAGGGGGATGCAGGCTTCAAAGCCTCGTTTCAAAACGCGAAGCGAACCTCCATTACTCAATGGAAAGGCGATCCGCACGAGCAGCAAGCGACCCGGCTCCTACCTCAAACACACCTGCTCTCGGCCACGGGGCCCCAGTGCCTAAGGCAAGAGACACCAGTATCCCCCCAAATCTCAGAGTTCGCGGCATTTTCTGACCGGGATGATTAGTTACCTAAATACCCGGTGATAACTGTGACTGGGATCTTGGCGCCGGGGCCAAGCTTTTCCTCTTCCTCTCTTTGCTTCGTCTCAATGGGAACCAATTCAGGACAGTCCTCCTCGGCTGGTTCCTCTGCCTCATCTCCAGTTACGAGAGCCGGTAACATTCCGGCCTAAAGCACACCGCCCCCTTAGCACCAGAGCCCGGGCCAAAACCGCCAAACGCCGCCGCGCACGCCAAGCTCGCCACGCCCGCCGCGTGTTTGACGTCATCACATCGCGACGCCTGGCTCCTCAGATCCTGGGCTCCCGGCTGAGGACCTTCCCGCCCCTTAGCCACGCCCCCAGGGAGGATCGGGGCGCTCCCCGGCTCGCTCTCCGAGCCCGAGCGAAGAGTCTGTAGCGCTCGGGATCCAGCCCCTCCCGGAAGCTGTCTCTGGCGCCTCACCCTGAGTAGCTGCTGGTTGTCGCTAGACCGAGTCCAGCCTGAATTTGGGGTGGGTGGCCTGACCTAAACGGCTCCCACAAACCATACCTAAATTGATCGAAAATGTTTTTAATTCATAATATAAGATTATGACACCAAAATTTAATTGTATTTTTTCTACGTATGGATAAGCTGTGAAGCTCTTTCTCTTTATAACTACTAATTTTATTATATATATCCAATTATTTTGTAAAATGATCCTGCACTACTTTTATTTTTATTTCTCATTATTTATTTGAATCTCAGGTCACTTGAGTTCACTAATCATATTTGTTGGCTCATGATACTCTGTCATCACTAATCCTTGAGAGACCACTTTTATATATATTTATAGTGAATTTCTTTGACCCTATGCCTAACGCAAGAACACCTTTACTTACACCTACAGCCTTTCCCCTGGAATAGTAACCACAATCGTGAATTGGTTCTGAATTGCTGATCACTCCCTTTTCAAAAAAATCTCATATATATGCAACAGTACAACAGGTTGTTTAATTTTGCTTGTTTAGCCATTTCGCAGAAAGAGTACCATACCATATATAATCTGGAATTTGATATACTTTCCAACTCCACTACTGAACTATATTCTATTGTGCATCTATACAGCACCTTATTTATCTACTTCCTGTCAATTGTTTTCAGTTTTTGCTGTTATGAGCAAAGTAGCTATGGAAATTTTTCTTGGCATATGTGCACTCTAGTTTCTCTTTAGGGTCTAGAATTGCTACTCCTTAGGTTATCGAAATATTATACTGTACAAGACCAGGCACAATTATTTTTTCAAATATTTGTAAAAATTTATACATTTTCCTAACAATGTATGAAACTTCATTGATCTAAATGTGAATATTAACAGATGTTAATTTTGTACCAGTCCACTTAGTACAAAATAATACTTCATTGTGGCCTTTGTTTGTATTTCCTTTGTTACTAACAAAGTTGAACTTCTCTTCATATGTTTTAGCCATATTTAATTCTTAGAACAACCCTAAGAAATGTTATTATCACACTTTTGAACATAAGGTACAGCAAGACATCATTACTTGGCCAAGTTAGATCACATAATCTGTCTGATACAAAGATCATATTTTTAATAACTATCGATACCAATGAATGGTTAATTTCTTCCATCTTTCTATGAAGTTTCACATAAAATATACTGTATATTCCATTTGTTCTACTGATGTGGATATATATCTTGTTTTGTTCTTTTTTTTTTTTTTTTTGGCTTTTCTCCGGTACCAGGGACCGAACTCATGACCTTGCGCTTGCCAGGCAGGTGCTTTGCCGCTGAGCTAAATCCCCAGCCCCTGATGTGGATATATATCTTGAAACTATTCTTTGGTGTAACTATCATACCTATGGAAAAACACAGTTGTGTTAGCTTTCTGTCCCTGTGACAAAGTATGAGAGAAGGACAACTTAAAGGAGAAAAGGTTTATTTTGGCTCACAATTCTGGAGGTTTCAGGCCATGGTTAGCTGGCTTCATTGCTTTTAGGCCTATGAGGGAGCAGGAGCAGAATCATTGTAACTGTTAAGCTTATCAAATTAGTTGGTGGGGAACCACCTAAGAGATTAGTAAGACACATTTCAAAGTGTGTCTGAGTAGGTCATGGAGGGTGACCTTGGTGTATTAGTCAGCTTTCCTGCTACTAGACACATAACCCAATACTGACAGCTTGAAAGAAAGACAGGTTTAATTTGGCTTATAGTTCAGGAGATTCAGTCCACGACTGGCTGACTCCAACGCAGAAACATCATAGTAGAAGGAAATGATGATGAAAAGCAGCTCATTTTATAGCAATGAGGAAGAAGGGAGGAACCAAGGAGATGTACTCTCCAAAGGCATATGCTGAGTGACACACCTTTTCCAACCGGACCCATCTCCTAACAGCACATTTAGCTATGAACTCATCGATGAATCAACCCACTGATGAGTATAGCATCCCATAATCCAATCACCTTCCAAAAGCCCTACATCTGAGGACATTCTAATCTAAACCATAACACTTGGGTGGGTCTACGCCATTACCTCTCTAGTGCTTTTTCCCTGCTCTACTTGCCTGCCACCATGAAGTGGGCAACTTTGCTGTGCCATACCCTTCTACCATAATGTTCCTACTTTGGAGCCAGCTGATCGTGATATGAAACTATGAGCCAAAGAAGCTATTACCTTCTTTAACTCATAGGTTTTGGGTATTAGGTCCCAGCAACATGGAAGCTAAACAATGCAACCATCATGGCAGAAGGGCATGGCAGAGCAAAGCTGCTCACCTTGTGGCAGCCAAGAAGCAGAGAGAGAGGAAGGGTCATGGAACAAGATATACCCATCCAGAGCATATACCCAGTGACTTTCTTCCTCCCCCTAGGCCCCACCTCCTATAGGTTCCACCACCTCCCCATTGTCTATTCAATTATTAACCCATCAATGGAATAATCCACTGATTTAATCAGAGCCCTCTTAATACAATTACCACCCCACAGCCCCATCTCTGGACACTGCTGCATAGGAACCAAGCTTTCAACATATGAGCCTTTGGGAGACATTTTATATCTAAACCACAGCAGCAGCAAAGGTTTCAGCAGCGCAAATGAGCCTGTCATTATACTCATATATTTTATAGATGGGGAAACCAAGACTTAAAATACCTTGCTCAAGATCATATAGTAAATGGTGGCTCTGTGGATCAACCCTGGTCTGCCTAACACTAAATTTCATGCTAATCTAACCAAGGGAATCTGCAAAAAGAATATATGAAGATAGCTTTGTTCAGTGGTAGTAGCGTAACCAATGAGATTTATCCGAGGTGCTATTATTGTCAGGACATTATATGGGTACTTACATAATAAGAGAGAAAATAATTTCCTACAATGTAAAATTGAATTTCATATGATTTTCACATCATGAAATAATAGTCTTCTTTTAATTTTTAACCCACTAAGAATATTAAAACCATTGTTAGCTTTCAGGCTTTGGGAGTGGGCAGCAGGCCATAGTTGCCAATTCTTGGTGTAAACTAAGGTAATATAATGTTTTCTTAAGTTGAATTAAATAAAAGTTTATAAAAATGTAACTTCCATACTATTTCCAAGGTCAGTGTGTATATCATCACCTTTGCAGCAACCCTGTGAACTCAAAGTGTTACATACTCAATCAAGTACCATAGCACTAGTGCTACTCAGAGGAGGGGCTGAAGCTAAGAAGTTCAACCTGCTCCTCCAAGGGCACAGATACCTGGCCAGAGAGACCACAGTCTGGCAACACTTGCATCTTTGCATTGTAGTAGGAGCCTCGCTAGGAAAGAGAAGGGTAGAGCAGATGAGCTCTCAAACTGATTGGAGTCCAAAGTTCAGGTTTCAGAAAATGCATCATTGGCGTTAATTTTCCAGTTTTCCCATTGCATCATTTTTTACTCTTGAATGGTTCTGTAAGTTGATATAAGAAAGAGTAAGCATTATAGCTATATCTAAATCAGATGAATGCTAAAAATAATTCCTACTTGCTTTTCTCTCTCTCTCTCTCTGTCTCTCTCTCTCTTTCTTCCCATCTCTCTCTTTGTCTCTCTCTGTGCCCTCCCATCTCTAATTTCTGTAACTTCCTGCAAAGGCAAGGGTGCTAATAGCCAGCAATAGCTTGTGGTTTAGAAAAAAGGAAACTGAAATTTTCAAAATTAACCTAGTTCCTCTTATCTAGCTGGACAAATGAATAAATTTTAAAATTCTTTTTAAACATGTAATTTTTATCAGGTTATTTTATACTTTTCATTGGATGAATGTGAACTTGTTGAGAACACATCTGTAAGGCCAGGGACTAAGGGCTTTTATTCTTGTGACTGCTTTAGTTAATGGTATTATATCAATATTCAAGTACCACATAGTTCCCTGCTAAAATCTACAACTATTATAAACATGAAATAATATTTCCTCTCCAGAATATTGAAGGTGACTGGCAGGTAGATGAAATATGCACACTTGGCATTTTTAGGGGCATGGCTTTCATTTCAGTGTCTGTCAATAATATTGTTTAAATCAATTATCTTTGGTGGTTAAGCCATGCTATTAATCAGGCTTAGCTTATAGTCCAGTCACTTGTAAATCAGCTTCTTACAAAATTTAAAAGAGAGAAAACATTATTCAAAGCCTGCGGGCTGACCTACTGAATGGTGCTTTGTTGCCTCTCAGATATACTTCAGGCAAAGAGAAGGGGTTGAGCAAAACAAAACCTGTTGTGCAATGATTTATGCTGTGAACGTTTAAGAGACCGTCTAAACAGCACTCTCTTCCCTTGTCAGTCGAAACTTAAAATTGACATTTGTGGCTTTAAGTTTGACTTTCTGATTTTTATAGTTTTAAAGAAGTGTGCTCCAAAAGCCACAGACAGCTGCTCATGATTTCATAAAGTAAATGAAAGACATAAAAGCAAATGAAATATCTCCATTTTTCTTCCTCATAGTATTCTTCCAGATTCCCTTAAAGACTATTTAATTGCACTTAACAAAATCACTACGCTGTAGGCAAAGTCAACTCTTCCTGATTTCAAGACAAGTGTCTTTCGAGTTCTGTAGATCTGTCTCTCAATTAATTCATCACTGTCTTTTCGTGTCTTTGGTCCTTTTGTGCTGCTACAACAGAATACATGAGTCTAGTAATTTATAAATAGTAGAAATTTATTCCTCACAGGTCTGGAGACTGTGGAGTCCAAGAATAAGGCTTTGATGGGTTCAGTGTCTGATGAAGATTTGGTCTCTATTTCCAAGATGATGCCTCAAAGGCTATGTCCTCCAGAGAAGAAAAATGCTGCATCCTCACCTGCAGAAGGGACAGACAGAAGGGCCAATAGCCCAAACAGCTCCTTTTCAACTCTTATAAAATCATTAGCCTCATAATTTAATCTTCTAAAGGGCTCCCTTCTTAATATGATCACATTGGTGATTAAGTTTCAACACATGAATTTTGGGAACCCATTCAGATTATAGCAGTTACCAACATTTCATTTAAGTGGAAACATTCATGAATTCCCTCCTTAGGTTAATTTACTTCTTTTCCTCTTCTTTAGCATTTCCTTTCTGCCCTTGAGTCTAAGTGTAGACAGCTCCAAATATATTTTCAGTAGTTTCAAACCATTCAGCTACTTCCTTCTTTTCACTTATTTCAATTCAGTGTCTTTCAGCATACTTATTCTTCCTGAAAGGTGACTTCACATTATTTTACCAGTCTTTCCAAATTATGTTTAAGATAATTCAAAAGCTCTTAAGTAGGAATTCTATTACCCATCTTTCCCATCTTTACTTATGGCAGTACTTACTTTTTAAGGGAGGTGCATGACCTCCAGAGAAGAAGACCACTGCCAGTCTGAACCAGATATGGCCATGAAAGGAAGTCCTGACTCATGGGCTATACACAGAAATGTCATGTGGCAGCTTCGTGGAACCTGGTCCGTCTTCATTTCTTCTTTTGTCCTGCTGCCTGGCATGCAGGAGTGACAGCAAGAGTACATCGTGATTGCTAAAGATAGGAGCCATATTTTGCAGGATATAGAGCAGGGACCAGGGAGCAACCAGCACACTGAAGACTTCATGGAGCAGAGCTGAAAAACAGGGAAATGAACTTATATGTTGTCTAGATTTCTTTTTGTGTCATTGAAACTAATCATGACCAATATTTTTAATTTGGCTCTTTTAAAAATAGTGTAAAATAATTAAAATAATTAAACATTACATCCATGTATAAAATGAAATAAAATGCCTGAATGTATTGCCATTATAAAATGTTCAAACAGTTGTTTGTGGTGATGCATGCCTATAATAGCAGCACGTGGGAGGCTGAGGCAGGAGGATTACCATGAGTTCACTTGGGCTACAAAGTGAGTTCAAGACCAGCCTGGACTACATAGTGAGATCTTGTATCAAAAAAAAAAAAATGTACAAACAGGACAAAATTATCAGGGTAAAATTGGATCTTCTTTTGCTATCTTCAGTTTCACTTTCTTTCATGGCATTGTATAACTTTGTGAAAAGTTTAATGGACATCAGTCTAGATTTTTAAAATTTTTTGGTATATAGCTTTGCCACTACCATACTAAATATTTTTCTATATATTTGTACACACGTGTAGCTTTCACTTTTAATGTAAAGAGGACATACAGAGATCTTGTTCTGGGACTCACAGTCTTCACTTGACAATATGCACTAGTAAGTTTTTCTCCTCACTAGAATTTGACCTGTGTCATTTATATTTTAACCTCTGTGATATTCCATAATAGAGATATATTGTAATTATTTCATCATGTCTTTGAAAGGCAGTTGAACATTCATTAGGCACCTCTGTAAAAAATGCTCAAAAGATAGATTCGACAGATTTCTCAAGAAATACATGAAAATGTGCTGATTCAATATAGCTTGTACACTTAATAATAAACTTTATTTCTACTTGTTTCTTATCTTAGAGTTGTTTATATACTAACTCAGCTGTGGAAGCATTAAAGTTTACAAACTATTACAACTATAATACTAAGGTTTATAATATTAAAATTTATTAAGAAAATATGAAGGCTTGTGTCATACTTTTCTGGTTGTTGAGACAGGAGGCAAGGTTTGTTCAGCTTTCAGTTTGTAGAGGTTTCAGTTCATAGTTTGCTGGCTCCAAAGCAGGGTGGCATCACAGAGGAGAAACAGTTTATGGCAGGCAGAAGGCAGAAAGCAACAAGCTGCAAGTGACAAACAGTGACCCTCTTTCTGCCCCTTGTATTTTATCCAGGCTAACAGCCCTTAGGGCAAGTAGCACTCACACCCAGAATGGGGCACCCTTAATCCTACCCAGAACTATGCAAACAATCAATGGAACTAATTTAGTAATCACACATCCTTGGTCCTAGCTTCACACATTGCAGATCCAGCCACCTACAAAAAGCTCCACTTATGAATGCATGAAGCTTTAGGGGTACATCAATACACAAGCCATAATAGTCAGAATTAAGTGTATTCAATTAATTTTAAAATTAATTTTGTTAATAGTTTTGGGTTACTTATAATTTGTAATTTCTATGCCTACGTATATTCCATTGTATACTGTATTTTATAATGAAGCTCATATTTTTTATTATGTATTGCTATCCATAAATCTACATGTGTACTTTCATAATTTAATTTTGGTTAGTGAGTTTGGGGCAGTAGTGTACAATACATAGATTAAAAATTCATTGCTGAATTACTGGTAGAACAGAAATATCTGAATATATCTATAATATATAGTGTGTATATATAGCATTTTTTTTTCTGATCCTGGGGATTGAATGCAGGATCTTCACATGGAGATATTTCCCAAGCCATTTATTTATTTCTTATTTTTCTTATTTTGAAACATAGTGCCTTAAATCACTAAGTTGCACAGGCAGTGCTCATTCTTGTGACCTTTCTGCCTCAGCCTCTCAGAGTGCTAGAATTACAGGTGTGTACTACAAATAATTTCACCTTAATTTTAGCGTTGCTTTGTGTTTATGATATAGTGCGGTAATTCACAGCTCTAGGTAGCACTACTGGAAATTGTTAATATTCAGAATACTAATCCATGTCTTTCTTACACTAAAATGTTTCCTTTTACTTTGTATAATTTTATTTATGAGACACTGCCAACCACAAAAGCTATTGATGATGACAACAGTAGATAATTCAGCTTTGGAGCACTTATTTATGCGTAAGTAAGTGCAAAATATATGTAGAAATGGTACTTATTTAAATAAATACATAGAATTTATCAGAACATAAACATGTTGTTATCATGACTTGCCTTTGCAAGAGAGAGAATTGGGAGAGTAATATAGGTGACAGATAAAAAAGGAAGAGGGGGTACTGGGGATTTAGCTCAGTGGCAAAGCGCCTGCCTGGCAAGAGCAAGGTCGTGAGTTCGGTTCCCAGTACCAAAGAAAAACCAAAAAAAAAAAAAAAAAAAAAAAAAAGGAAGAGGGGGCCAGGGATATAGCTCAGCTGCACAGTGCCTACCTGGCAAGCACAAGGTAGTGAGTTTGTTTTAAGAGAGAAGAAATCTCCCTTCATTTTAAAAAAGCCTTTTTTAAATAGCATGCATTATGCTTGAGGAAAAATAGTCTCTTTAATAAATGGTGCTGGGGAGACTAGATATTCACATGTGGAGAATTGAAACTAGATCCATATCTCTTCACCATGTACTAAACTAAAGTAAAAATGAATCAAAGACATGGATATCAAAACAGAAACACAATCTGCTCAGAGATGAAATACATAAATTTCTTGAGGACATAGGTATAGGTAAGGACTTTTTTAACATACCCCAACTGCACAAGAACTAACATTAAAAATTAACAAATGGGATTACATCAGGTTAAAAACCTGCACAGCAAAGGAAAAATCAATAGTGAAGATGTACACTACAGAATTGAAAAAAAATTTTGTTGGCTACTCCTCAGATAGAAGATTTATATCTAGCATACAGAAAGAACTAAAAAAAAAACTAGACCCCCATAAATAAAACACCCAATCACAAAATGGGCAACTGAAATAAATACATATTTCTCGGAAGAAATAGAAATGGCTAATGAATACATGAAAAAATGTTTACCTCATTGGCCATGACAGAATGCAAATTAAAGTAATACTGAGATTCCATCTTACTTCAGAAAGAATGGCTATCACCAAGAAATCAAATAAAAACAAATGCTAGCAAGGCTATGGAAAAAAAAAAAAAAAAAGGAACCCTTCTTTGGTGGGAATGTAAACTGTTACAGCCACTGTGGAAATCAGTATGGAGATTCCTCTAAAAACTCCCTTTTTAGATATCTTCCTGAAAGAGTTAAAGACATCATATCGTAGTTAGATGTACTTACCCATGTTATAGTAGCTAAATCTTGAAAACAGTCTATGTGTCCATCAACACATGGATGGATAAGCGATATGGTATTTATACACAATGCAGTACTACTCTGTCATAAAGAAAAAGGAACTGGAAACATTTGTAGGGAAATGAATATACCTTGAGACCGTAACGTTAAGTGAAATAAATCAAATACACAAGCACAAATATTAGTTTTCTCTTGTATAAGAAACCCAAAGTATAAATAGAGTAACATACAAGATATTAAGAAATAGGGAGATAGATCCTCTGCAAATGGAAAGAACTAGAGCTGGAAAAGGGAAGACAGTGGAAATGAAAAGAATCAAGATGTGTTATGCACATGCACCAACTCCCTATAATGAATCCAAACATTATGTACCACAAACATGTACTAATAAGCACAGAAAAATAGTGTGTATAAAATACAAAGCTAAGAGTGGATTTATATAATTACGTCTAAAGTTTCATGTATGTGACTATAGATTCAAATGCCTGTATTTACATGCAGAAAATATTAACAGGAAAAATGTTTATATGCATCTGTACTGATTTATAAAATAATAATAAATATGAGATAAAAAAATGTGCTCATCATGGCAAATTGTCATATATTTATGATCCAGAGTAGTAAAAGATAATAAATAAAAATGTTTATTCATATTTGGGTATATACTAGTATATATTCATATCTATATTAACATTTATGATGTTTGGAAGGATATTCAATTTTGCAATTATATGGTCTACCTTAGAGGCATAGGATAGGTGTCCAGGACATTATTTTTTTAAGCCATATCTTGGTATCGTACTACTGAGTATAAAGGCATATAAAATTATTTTTAAATTTGAAATAAGTAAGATATATATCAGCCTAACTTTTGTGGAAGGCAAACTTAAAGATATCTAGTAAAACATGAAGTGCATATATTTTTTACCTAGAAATTGTACTGATTGGAATTAATCCTACATATATATGTGTGCAATCATTCATGACATTGCCAGCAGTATTGGTTTAGTGGCGATATATTAAAAACATTCTAACTATTCAGTTATAGGGGAAAAGCTAAAAACGCTTCGTTTATGTTAGATGACTAGTGGTAAAGCAAGGTTTCACATTATATTTAAATATGGAACCACTAGAAGTACCTTTATTTCAAACAGCCTTTAAGAAAAAGACAGAAAGAACTTTGATGAAGCATTCTGAATTTTTTTTTCTACTAGGATTAATTCCAGGACCTCATACATGCTAAGCACACTCTACCACTGAGCTTCTCATTAGTAAAAGAACTTACATTATAAGGTGGTGGATATCTGATCACAAATGTGAAAAATTCAGCTACCACTTAAATGAACAAACAATTTCTTACAACATTCATATCTTATAGATTAAATAAACTATTACAGTCTCCTTAAAATATTTTCTAAGTTTTAAGGTCATTTCATCCTTTAGAGTTAAAGGTTACATTCCTTGGAGATTAAATAAAAACTCTGATGTTAACAGTTGACTTAGCTAGTTATTCACTTCAGTAAACATTGACGAGAAAAACAATTTAATATTTTATAACAAAAGCAAAGCATTCATACAATAAACATATCATGATAATAACAGAGCTCACTGGAATCTTTACCCTACCTGACCAGTGCTCTTTGTTCCCGGT